CCTGGTGCTGGGACTGCGCCACCCACCCAGCGCTCCGGGGTTGGGGGTGCTCTGGCTGTGCCACCTGCCTGATGCTCCAGGGATGGGGGCATGCGGGGGGGAGCCAGCAGCTGCCAGGGCAGGGTGTGCTCTGGGCTCTGGTGGGGCAGAGGGGATGGAAGGGGAGGGATGAAGCCTCAGGCAGAGGGGTAGGGGACGGGGGCAAGCCTCCCCCAATGGTGTGCTCACCCACTGCCCGTGCCTGACAGTTATAATGCTTTGATTTAATTTCAGTTGTTGTGTTTAGTATGTGGGTTGTGGCCGTGTCCTTAATAGACAAGATGTCATACTAGATCTGATCTGGTGGTCCCTTCTGGCCCTAAACCCTATGATTCTATTAAGTTAATTGTTGATCTGGATTTTATTTGTGTTGGTGTCCTGTCTTGTTGTTCTTGATTGCTATGCAGTCTGAGTCATTACTTCTCAGCTGACTCTGGCTAGTTAATGTGGTTACAAACCAATATGGATAGTGTAAAAATTAGTAAATTCAAGACCTTATGTTGTGTAAGTCTTCCTCCTATCCTCACTCTCTTGCCGGTTACCTCTCCCTTTATTGTATTATGTCCTATCTAACCAGACTATAAACTTCTTGAGGAAGGAATGTGCCTCCTATTTGTCTGTATAGTGCGATACACATTTAAATTGCTGTACAGATGATAGCTATTACATGCGCTCAAGAGGCAGTGTGCAAACTAAAAGAAGAATGGTCAAGTTGGATGGGGTTGTTTGTGTTTGGTGCAAAATGGGCTTGCATCTACATGTGGTTCACTAGTCCAGGAAAAAGGATGTAACAGCCCTAGAATAAAGTGATATATCACTTGGTGCACCTAGATGAAACTATTGTTAATGTTACTTTGTGGCATCTACACAAATGGTATAACTTAGTGAAAATTACAAATTTACAAATCACAGTTTTCTTATGGAATTGACTGCAAACCTCTCCTGAATATGGCACATTTCATAGGGCAAAACTACCTAGTTGTTTGGCAATCATGGATTGCTGTGGATATGCCACTTTATTTTTTTTTTAATACCTTATGTTGGCATGTGTGCCTGTTTTACACTTTTATTTGTTTTCCTTTCTAGTCTGCCCACTGAGTCTGAATTATGGACAAATGACCTCCTGCTTTATTTTCTATTCTGTGCTTGGCTGTGGCATGCCCAGAAGGTATTCATCTAGCAACTGGGATATCACACTGTGATTTGCAGTTTATATCAGCAGTTCTCAAACTTAATGCACAGCGACCCTCTTCTGACAACAAAAATTATTACATGACCCAGGGGTGGGGACGACAAAGTCCAAGTCCCACTGCCCGAGGTGGGAGGGAGGACCAAAGCCCTGCCGCACAGGACTGAAGCCGAAGTCTGACCCCTGCTGCCCCGGGTGATGGGGTTCAGGCTTCGGCTTCAGCCCCAGACTCCAGCAGGTCTAAAGCCAGCCCTGGCAACCCCATTAAAATGGGGACCCGACCCACTTTGGGGTCCCAACCCACAGTTTGAGAACCGCTTCGCTGTATCTAACACAGTATATTCTCCACAAGCAACGCCTGTGGCTGAATTCTTAAGACCATGACTGGTAGATAAGTAGAAGCTGTGGGTGGACACATTAGTGGACACATTATTCTACTCCCTACACCAGTGGTTATTACTAACACTGCTGTTTTGAAGACACTGAAAAAGACAGACTTTTAAGGTAGCTTACTGCAACTAATTAATTTGTATCTAATTTTAGTAGAAAAAGACTGTTGTATTTGCCTTGTCTTCAAACCACAGTAAATATACACATTGCTAAATGGCTATTGACATTTTCAAATGTGTTTCAGATGAAAATCAATAGCATGCTATTAGGCTCATCATACTGCTCAGCCTCTTATGCATCATTAAAATGTATTTTAAAAGCTTTTAACATAAATGGAAGTTGGGGAAAATAATGAGACATTCTGATGATGTGCAGCATACTTAAAAGACATTAAAGAATCAAATGGGAAACTTTAGAGGGATTTGGAAAGAATGCCCGGCAAAGCATTCACTGGGTGTGTAGAAAACATTATCAAATGAACAAAAAAGGACTGTGTGAGGGAAGCAGTGTATCAGTAGAGTTGAGCCAACTGCTGAGGATAACAAAGTAATAAAACATTTTAAAAGATACTTTTACAAATGGGCTTGTGGCACTTGTCATCTTCCCTTTGTCTGATGTATAATATCACTGCTGCACAATGCTAAGTAATGTATCTAAAAATACCATTCACATTTTATTTTCCTTGCAGAGAAGAATCACATTAAATCCTAAAAGCAAGTTTAAAAATTAATATTTCTGAGCCACTTCCTGGTGACCACCATCTTGCTGAAAAGTGACATCATTTGTGACAATGTAGGGTCCAAATTCAGACAGTGTAAATTGCTTCTTCTGCCTGAAATAGCACATAAATAATCAGAAGTTTGATTTAACATTTAAATAAAATATAAAAAATTGAAAAAATTCTCCTTCTGCTACAGAGAATGGGATGGGAACAATTGTTTTTTAAAAAGCAAAATTTCCTCGTGAGCTAAAAACTATTGTGCATATGGCCAGGATCTGTGTTCTCCTTATTTATTCTGATCTCTTGTCTGCATATATCACCCTTTATGGAGTTGAGATGACTTTTTTTCAAATTCATCATATTTTAAACAAAACATTATAGACAAACATCAGTTGTGGTATAAGCAAGGTGTAACTCCATTTACTTCAGTAGAGTTACTATACCAAAGTTAACATTTTTTCCTTAACTATATGAGGAAGATTCCATTCAGGGTAAAAATTTTGAAGAATTATCTGCCTTAGAATGGGACTTATACATCAAAAACAGTCTCAAAAGAACCATCCGCATCTAACCTTGAGTTTTTAGCTGGAGTACCAAACAAGAACTTCCTAGGATACCAAAATGTGTATGTTAAAATATGGGGTGATTACAAGTCATGTTCAGGTAGACACCAAATATATATAAATGGAATATATATAGGGATCTCAAAGTCCCAGCCCGCGGGCCATCTACACCCTGAGAACCTCTCCACTCCGGCCCAAGGAGGAGAGACCCATGCAGCCATGCTGCCTGATGTCTGCTGCTGCAGGCGCTGCCCCCCACAGCTCCCATTGGCTGGGGGAGAGGGACAGATACATTATCACTAGTTGCCAAGCAGAGTCAGCCATGAAGGCAGCATCATTAGTTGCAGCATCACTTTTTTCCACAATGAATATAAACAAGTCAAAATAATGAACACAACTATCGGATACACCCCTTGCTGCAATCCTGAAGGTCTCAACTGCTCAGTCACTGAGGCCAAACATCAACAAATTGACAGAGCTGAAGCATTGCCAGGTGTCTGGCAAACACTAAAAACTATCTGGCAGACAAAGAATTGTATAAAGTAGTATGACAGTTTAATTATTTCTAAGAAATTCGAAATAAAAAATGCAATATAAACATTTTCTCTTCTGAACACCCTCTTCAGTGACATTATTGGCCTGCTGGGAGGATTTGAGGACTAGCACTGGCCCTAAAGTAAATTGAGTTTAAGACCCCTGACAAACTATCAAGGACAGGAATTTGTATCTAGGAGGAAAAAGAAAAGGAGTACTCGTGGCACCTTAGAGACTAACCAATTTATTTGAGCATAAGCTTTCGTGAGCTACAGCTCACTTCATCGGATGCAGCCGATGAAGCGAGCTGTCACTCACAAAAGTTTATGCTCAAATAAATTGGTTAGTCTCTAAGGTGCCACGAGTACACCTTTTCTTTTTGCGAATACAGACTAACACAGCTGCTACTCTGAAACCTATCTAGGAGGAAAGACTCCTGAGAATAATAAAGTCTGGCAGTACTTTAATTTCATTTTTGTCTGTAGAGTGGAACTCACCCCTCCCCAGCATGGTCTTGAAAATAAGGCAGGGGATCTAAAAAAAATAATTGGGTAGAGAGTTTCTTCTATTTTTAACTATTTAGTCTGGTTGCTGAAAGAAACTAAAATACAATCTCTATAGCAAATCAAACGCTTTACTGTAGCTCTTTCTTTTTTCTGTCTCTTTCCCTGTCCTGTTCTCTCTGCTGCCTCCTCCCTTGCAAAATGTATTTGGGGTTCGCTGGTCCTGGGATATTTCTGTTCCCTTGTTCTTCTCTATTTGAATGTATGGTAGTAAACAATAACAGACCATTTTAGCAAGGAACGAAAAACAACTTCTACAATCAAATCATACGGCTTTTTCCTTTAGCTTTTACCTGCTGTCAACAAACCAATCTAATACGCTCCTATCGTGATCTGACTAGGGCAATAACAAGTAGACGTCCTTTCAAATTACTAACATCACACAGCCAGTCAAATATATTGCGAAAGGGTTCTCTTGCCAAGCCAGATTGCCAAGGACGCTTTTCAGTTTGCAGTGGGCATCTGCCTGAGGCGAGCTGCTGAAGCGCAAGGAAAGCGGGTGGCAAATAAACAAGCGCAGGGGACGGGGAGGCAGGACTTCTGGTTCCTTTCCCCCAGGTTATTTGTCGAGCGACCGCGGCCGGGCCGGCTAGCAAGACGGGGTTGGATGGGCGGCTGCCTGTGGCTCCGGCGCACCAGCCCATACAAGGCCGGCTAAAGCAGCCCCCGCGCGTCGGCCGCTCCCCGGCGGCTGCTCCCACAGCTCGCGCCCGCTGACTGCCGGTCCCAGGGGGCCTCTGAGGCGGGAGAAGCCGGCACATCGCCCCGCCTCCCGTCCTGGGGCGGCCCCGCCTCGCTGGGCGGAGCACCCAGCCGCGTCCCCGCTGGCAGCGGCCAATTCCTTGCCTGCTCCGGCTTCCACGGGGGTGGCGGCCGCCCGGCCGCCCCCCTGCCGCTGTGTCTCCCTTCCACCCCCCGCTACACCACCGCCTGGTTTGTTGAACGACAGTGTCGCAAAGTTAAACACGCCAGGCCAGAGCCGGAGCGCGACTTTACGGTGGCGGCAGCCGACCTTTTGCCTCACTCCGGCTCCCATTGGGGCAGCCGCCGGCCAATCCCCTGCCGCGATATCTCCCTCCAACGGCAACAATCCTGTGGTCCGTTGGCCGCCAGTGTCGTAAAACCGCCGTACCGGAGCCGGCGCGCAGCTTTACGGCAGCAGCGGCCCGACGAGCTCGGCGGGGTGGGGGGTAGGCGGTGCGGAGCCGGCCCGCCGGGGTGTGCACGCGCGCTCGCGCGGGGAGCTGGATGCCCGGGGGCGGGGGGAGCCCGGCGCCCTGCACTCTGGTGGGAGCGGAGGCGGGGGCCCCCGGCGCCGGCGGGGAGGCGGGCGGCGCGGCGGCCCCGGCGGGCAGGATGAGCCTGTCGCCCAAGGAGCTCTCGAGCCTGCTGAGCATCGTCTCGGAGGAGGCGGGCGGCAGCACCTTCGAGGGCCTGTCCAGCGCTTTCCACCACTACTTCGGCAAGGCCGAGCACTTCCGCCTGGGCTCGGTGCTGGTGCTGCTGCTGCAGCAGCCCGACCTGCTGCCCAGCCCGCCGCAGCGCCTCACTGCGCTCTACCTGCTCTGGGAGATGTACCGCACCGAGCCGCTGGCCGCCAACCCCTTCGCCGCCATCTTCGCCCACCTGCTCAACCCCGCGCCCGAGCGCGGCGACGAGGCCGAGCGGCCGCCGCTCTCAGGTACCGGCCCGGGGCGCGGGGGTTTCCGCTGAGCAACCGGCTCCGCTTCTCGGCGGCCGTCGCGTCGCTGCGAGGCCCGGTCTCCCCGGGGTGGGGTGGATGGGTGGGGGGGCCGCGCCGCTGAGGTGGCTCCCGGGCTGCGGCCGCTCAGCAGAGATCGGGCCCGAGTCTTTCGGGGGAGACAGGCAGGGGCTGGAAGGAGGCCCCGCGCGGAGTGATGTTTCGGTTTGTGTCCACGGGACCGGAGCCTGCCCCAGCCCCCTCCCTCGGCCGTGTGTGTGTGTGTATTTTTCACAAAAGTTTTTCTGGAGGTTAAGTTACATCGTTGTTCGTCAAAGAACACTCCGTTGCCTCTGGTTTCGGTACCTGTCCCCTTAGTTCTTCACTCATCTAAACTGCCCTCTAGCAAGCAGCAAAAGAAACCCGGATTATTCTCAGGTCAAACACTTTAAAATAAGCCTTTCAGGCTTTCTTTCTACGTTATAAAACACCACGCACCCTTTTCCTTTGCAGTGCAGTTCAGAAAACATGTTTAAAAACACATCTCAACAGCGGTCATGCACCACTCCATTCAAACGGCAGTGCACATTGCTCTGGCTCTTAATTTTTGGGGGCATTAGATTAAAGCCATGAAAACCGAGAAGCTGTGCATGAAGATAAATTACCCCTCCAAAATCAGAAGGATTCTGGCTAAAGTAACTAATGTACATAGCAGATAAACTGAAGAGAAAAGGAGGACTTGTGGCACCTTAGAAACTAACAAATTTATTTGAGCATAAGCTTTCATGAGCTACAGCTCACTTTATCGGATGCATTCAGTGGAAAATACAGTGTGGAGATTTTATATAAACGGAGAACATGAAACAAGGGTGTTACTATACACACTGTAATGATAGTGATCAGGTAAGGTGAGCTATTACCAGCAGGAGAGGAAAAAAACCTTTTGTAGTGATAATCAAGGTGGACCATTTCCAGCAGTTGACAAGAACATCTGAGGAACAGTGGGGGGGGGCGGGAATAAACATGGGGAAATAGTTTTACTTTGTGTAATGACCCATCCACTCCCAGTCTCTATTCAAGCCTAATGTAAGGGTGTCCAGTTTGCAAATTAATTCCAATTCAGGAGTGTCTCATTGAAGTCTGTTTTTGAAGTTTTTTTGTTGTAATATTCCGACTTTTAGGTCTGTAATCGAGTGACCAGAGTGGTTGAAGTGTTCTCCGACTGGTTTATGAATGTTATAATTCTTGACGTCTGATTTGTGTCCATTTATTCTTTTACGTAGAGACTGTCTGGTTTGGCCAATGTACATGGCAGAGGGGCATCGCTGGCACATAATGGCATATATCACATTGGTAGATGTGCAGGTGAACGAGCCTCTGATAGGGCTTAATCACAAACGGCCACACTATGATGATGTCCCCTGAATAGATAGGTGGACACAGTTGGCAATGGGCTTTGTTGCAAGGATAGGTTCCTGGGTTAGTGTTTTTGTTGTGTGGTGTGTGGTTGCTGGTGAGTATTTGCTTCAGGTTGGGAGGCTGTCTGTAAGCAAGGACTGGCCTGTCTCCCAAGATCTGTGAGAGTGAGGGATCGTCCTTCAGGATAGGTTGTAGATCCTTGATGCGCTGGAGAGGTTTTAGTTGGGGGCTGAAGGTGTTGGCTAGTGGCGTTCTGTTATTTTCTTTGTTGGGCCTGTCCTGTAATAGGTAACTTCTGGGTACTCTTCTGGCTCTGTCAATCTGTTTCTTCACTTCAGCGGGTGGGTATTGTAGTTGTAAGAACGCTTGATAGAGATCTTGTAGGTGTTTGTCTCTGTCTGAGGGGTTGGAGCCAATGCGGTTGTATCGTAGAGCTTGGCTGTAGACAATGGATCATGTGGTGTGGTTTGGATGAAATAGTTCATCCAACCTGATCACTCTCATTACAGTGTGTATGGTAACACCCATTGTTTCATGTTCTCTGTGTATATAAAATCTCCCCACTGTATTTTCCACTGCATGCATCCGATGAAGTGAACTGTAGCTCACGAAAGCTTATGCTCAAATAAATTTGTTAGTCTCTAAGGTGCCACCAGTACTCCTTTTCTTTTTGCGGATACAGACTAACATGGCTGCTACTCTGAAACTGAAGAGAGACAGGCATGCTTAACTCCATTCCCCAACACTGGAGAGCTGTTGGTTGTTTGAAGCCATGTAAGAGATGTCTCACTGTTTGTGTAGGGGGGAATTTGCAAGAAGTGAGGTTTTCCTGTCCCCTCTGTTCCCAGTTCAAATAAATCCCTGGAATAGGGCCCTCTCTGTGTGATCCGGGGCCGAAAGGGGAACCTCTTCTCCAGATATTTATTTTTGAGGGGCACGGTAACAGGTAAACCTCCCTTCTTTAATCTAGTGCCCCCCAAACTGGGAATCGGAGTGATGTGTGCTGAGTGATGGATGACTCCTGTTGAGAGGTGCTTTTAAAAATTTTGTCTTTGAAATTGCCCTACAAAGGAAAGGAGGGGGGGCTGTTTGCTGTTTTGTGATAATTAAAGAAGGCCTGAATCACTTAAAAATAAGCATTTGACATGAGAATTATCAGGGTTTGCTTTTCTGCTTTGAAGAACTGGAGGGATTAATATCATCACAAGGTGCTGAAACCAGAGGAACTGAAGGAAGGGGAATTTGGAGGGGCAGTGTTATTTGATTAAATCCTAATTTAATCACATCATAAAAAACACCTTATGTTCCAGACAAACACTGGAAAGAACAAAAAAGTTCTTTTGTGAAAGATCAGAGAATATCAGGGTTGGAAGGGACCTCAGGAGGTCATCTAGTGAGTCCAACCCCCTGCTCAAAGCAGGACCAATCCCCAACTAAATCATCCCAGGCAGGACTTTGTCAAGCCTGACCTCAAAAACCTCTATGATTCAGTGCTCCACCCCACTTTCCTGCATTTGGGAGCTGAGGGAGCACCAGTCAAGCTTTTTAGAAAATAAAAATACAAGGAACTTCTGTTTTGATGTAAAAACAAGCAGGATTTTTTTTCTTTTTTTGGCCAAGTAACTTTAGATGTTGGATTATAGCTTGTTTGCAAACAGCTTGTTGTTTAAGTGTTCAAAACCTGAGCCATTTGTACCCATTGGTCACATGTAAAATGTTTAATCTCTGATTGGATGAGTTATTTTTAGCCTCTGATTTCTGGAGCTAATACAAATGAATTCTGGATTCTTTCTGAGTTTTAATAGTTTAAAACTTGCTTTTTCAGCAAAACGTTCACTTCATTAATATTTTCGAGAATGTTTATTGAAAGCAGCACAGTCAAATTGTTTGAACATTTAAATACTAAAGCAAACTTTTTTTTTCAGTATTCTCCAAGCTCTGTTGGTCATGGTTTAAAATGTGGGGTAAAGGGTGTTGAACTTTTCAAGCACTGCTCTAGAGAGTATATAAACTGGCTGTATGCCACTAATTTAAATCCAAATGATTTTCAAATCCAAGCTTCCCCTCAGCTGAAAGTAAAATTCTGTGGATTCACTGGTGGCTAATAGAACGATTATCTTTGATGTGACTACTTGAAATATTGTCCTTCGGTATATATTTCAGTGAGAGGTATTTATAACATGCTGCAAAATGAGTCTCGAGTATTTATAACTTCACCTGAAAAGTGCAAATTTTAAATTCTATTAAAGTTACTATAGTGCTTACTAAGGTGTATGGATGTGCCAAGTTTAAATTTTATTTACATTGAAAACTAAAATGGCTAAAGTACAAAATTCAGCATTTACAGAGTATTATAAATTCTGCTTTAACAACAAATGGAGATCTTGTTTAACACTTTTGATAGCTATAAAGTTCTGAAAACAGGCAAGTTCTGCTCAGTCTCAAAGGGATACTGTCAGTTTTACTTGGCCCAAAAATAAAGTTCCATAAAAATTTGTTTATAAACATTCAAGACTAATATAAATGTTTCCATAATTTTAACAAAGTTGTTTTGAAACAAACATTCCCTGCAGTGTGTGAAGCCCAAACTCAGCAGCATTAAGAACCTGAAAGAGAAACTGATGTGATTTGTATTTCTTGGCTTTGAAATGAAAATCAAACTATAAATAGTGACAGGTAAACTGGATTCTAAAAGTTTTTCACTTTGAATAATTTGTAGTGTTAATAGCAACTTGTTCACCACAAACTACAATGAATATTATGGCTGTGACTAGCAATGTGCTTGTTATTTGTTAAGAATTGATCATTGGTCTAAATTAGAAAACAAAATGATGCATCAAGACTGCTTGACATTCAAAACCAAATTTAAAAAGTTGTGTGGGGAAGGGTTGGGAGCTCTTTACTACTTATGCCACATTTTTCTCTTCTGTTCCTTCCCTGATGGCCTGTTTGTATTCACTGCTCTCTACAGAAGGGTTCAGCTTTCCTTGTATTTGCCTAGTTTTAATCAAATTGCCTTTCATTTCTGGAGCACCCAAATTCAAACTATTCCCCAAAGTGTAACAGAGCTTGATATGACTGCGTGGGTCTCATAGATGCAATTGCAATATAAGGGCTTACGTTTTACTAACATGGATGACCAAACATTGGTAACAGCTGAAGAACTAGGTTTTTTTAATTGTAATAATTAAACTAATTTTAGATGGCTTCATTAGCCCTTATGGTATGCTGTGACCTAGCCTTCAACCCAAAAATGGAGACATAGGGCTGTTGAAATAAGTCTAAAATGATTTAATAGTTAAAACCAAAGATACCTTGACTGGGTTTAGTTCATTAGACCAGTGTTTCCCAAACTTGGGACGCCACTTGGGACGCCCTGGCGAGCCGGGCTGGTTTGTTTACCTGCCTCGTCCGCAGGTTCGGCCGATCGCGGCTCCCACTGGCTGCGGTTTGCCGTTGCAGGCCAATGGCGGCTGCGGGAAGCGGCAGCCTGTATGTCCCTCAGACGGTGCCGCTTCCCGCAGTCCCCATTGGCCTGCGGCGGTGAACCGCAGCCAGTGGGAGCTGTGACTGGCCGAACCTGCGGACGCGGCAGGTAAACAAACTGGCCTGGCCTGCCAGGGGCTTTCCCTGAACGAGCGGCATCCCAAGTTTGGGAAACACTGCATTAGACAGTTTAAGCAAAATTATTCTGTATTGCTCATATTTAAATGCTACATAGACAGAGGCGTGGATTTAATTTAAAACATTAACACAACTGAATATTCTTAGTGTCAGCCTAATTCATACATTTTAATATTTGTGCCATAGTTTGTTTAGCAAACATCGCTCCTTCACAGTAGAAAGTGAAAAGTATTGATTGCCACTGTGTAACATGTAAGGAAAATTGTTTTTCTCAGGTTTCTTACCTCCCATAACTCCACCAGAAAAATTCTTCCTTTCCCAACTGATGTTGGCTCCTCCTAGAGAACTCTTCAAGAAGACTCCTCGACAGATTGCCTTAATGGATATAGGAAATGTGGCCCAGTCAGTGGATATAAGTGGACTTCAGCTAGCACTAGCAGGTAAGAAATAACAAACCATTTTAGGTATATCCTGACAGCTTTTCATTGAGATAATAGTGAAAGCGAGATATTTCTTTTTAAGTGTAAAATGAGTTGAGCTATAATTCTAGGCTGTAGAAACTTCAAGCACAGAGCATTTTTAACTGCCTTACATTTGGCTTAAAAAGCAAGTTTTATACATGGAATTTTCTTCTTTGAGGCTGTGAAGACACTTTTTTTACAATATAGGAATAGGCTTTACATCTGAAACATGTCTTTTGTTCTGGTGGCTGTTTTCATGCTTAAATTTTATTCCCTTGTATCCTGTGCAGTGTTTCCAATTCAGAAACACAGGATAACTTATTATCAGGCAGCCATTACACCTCTTTCTTCAGTTATCTCTTTTGGCAAGCCCAGGTGTTAAAACTGAATTTTTGGTAGTTTTTATAAATCTGAGATGATTCAGGTTTTTGTTACTTCCTGTATTGCCTCCAGATTGGGAAGGTGGCTAATTTGGCTGGCTGTATCTAGTAAAAGTGATTCTTTTGGACCACTTGGCAGGAGAAAGAGAGAAAAGGGTGGTGGTTGTGAGTCGTCACTTATAGTAGGTCACTTTTGGAGCTACTGATTGAAACAGTAGGAAAGATGGATATAGTAAATGGGGCCAGTTTGGAGCACGAAAAATCCAAGTATGGTCTTATAAGGATGTGATAACCATTGTTTGAGACTAGGGACCGAATGGCTAGGCAGCAGTTCTGCAGAAAAGGACATAGGGGTTACAGTGGACGAGAAGCTGGATATGAGTCAACAGTGTGCCCTTGTGGCCAAGAAGGCCAATGGCATTTTGGGCTGTATAAGTAGGGGCATTACCAGCAGATCGAGGGACGTGATCGTTCCCCTCTATTCGACACTGGTGAGGCCTCATCTGGAGTACTGTGTCCAGTTTTGGGCCCCACACTACAAGAAGGATGTGGAAAAATTGGAAAGAGTCCAGTGGAGGGCAACAAAATAATTAGGGGACTGGAACACATGACTTATGAGGAGAGGCTGAGGGAACTGGGGATGTTTAGTCTACGGAAGAGAAGAATGAGGGGGGATTTGATAGCTGCTTTCAACTACCTGAAAGGGGGTTCCAAAGAGGATGGCTCTAGACTGTTCTCAATGGTAGCAGATGACAGAACAAGGAGTAATGGTCTCAAGTAATGGTCTCAAGATTTAGGTTGGATATTAGGAAAAACTTTTTCACTAGGAGGGTGGTGAAACACTGGAATGCGTTACCTAGGGAGGTGGTAGAATCTCCTTCCTTAGAAGTTTTTAAGGTCAGGCTTGACAAAGCCCTGGCTGGGATGATTTAATTGGGGATCGGTCCTGCTTTGAGCAGGGGGTTGGACTAGATGACCTCCTGAGGTCCCTTCCAACCCTGATATTCTATGATCCTGTGAACTAAGTTTTTAATACCTAATCTTGGGATAATTAGACAAATATTAGTGTGATATTCAACCTATTGCCTGAGTTTTCCTGCCTTAGTCCTGTGTCTTCCTCTTTGGATTTTTCTGAGCATTTTTGTGAATGCTGTATTCTTTGACTTAAACTTTCAAAAATGACTTGACACTTTGGGTGCCCAAATTACAATGCATTGAAGGGGTCTGATTTTTCACGAGAGCTGTGTACCTGCCCTCTGAAAATCAGGTCCTTTTTGAATGGTGTCAAATTAAGAACCCCAAATTACTAAATTTGACTGTTTTTGCTGGAGGTTCCATGCATTTTGGTTTGTCCTGTCTTCAAAATACAAAGCCAGTAGTATTTTTGAAAACGGAACAAATTCATTGATATTGGTTGCTTTTAAAAATAAGTAGCTGAATGTGCAATGCTTATTCTGTATGTAGTGGATACAACAAAATTATACAATAAATCACGTACATAACTAACTTGACTACATGGAGACCTTAGGCTATCTCTGATCTGATATGTTCATAACAGAGACAGTGTGGCTGAGGTAATATCTTTTATTGAACCAATTTCTGTTGGTGAGAGAGACAAGATTTGTTTCTTTGAATAAATGCCTGCCGTTGTCTATGTGCCTCATAGGAAGGCAACTGCTCTTGCTGTCTTGACACCTCGGAATCACCTTTTTGACTGGCTTCTCCATTTATAAAATAACTTGTTTCAAGTCCATATATTTCCCAGTAATCAAAGATGTAGAAAAGAAGTTAACTGAGTAGTCCGTAAAGTATAAAAAGAGTGAAACAAAAAAAACTTAAAAGCTATTGAGAACTTTGTTTATATTTGTCCCTCTTTCCTAGCCAATCTTGTCATGTAAGAGTTGTAAATCTTGATGGCTTTTGTAAAGGTGTTCTCCTATTCAGAATATCCCTGGATTCATTTTAGAGACAAGTTTGGACCTTGTTCTAGAATGTACCTCACAAAGATTTACTGCTATTCAAAAAATTTTAAAGCATTCTGTCAGGATAACTATCCTGAATGTTAAATTACATATGGGAAAGACAACTGATGTATCCTGTCCTTTAATATCTGATCTTCTCTGAGTAATATCCTAAGTAACAATCAGAATTTAAATATGAACAATTTGACTTGCAGCTGTAATTGCTTTTTTTAAAGGGCAGAAATACAGTTTCCTAAGGACTTTGTTTAGATTTTTTTGTTTGATCAGTATTAACTTCTCTTCAACCTGCTGATTTGCAGAATGTTTTTGCAAAATTTGCTTCTGTTTCTTTATTTGTACTTCTGCCTGTTTGGATCATTATCCTGCCAAAAACGTCATTTTCTGATGCTGGTGGGAAAAGGAAGTTTTCTGGCAAAATACTGCCTTTATTCGATACGGTTAGCTTGACAGAAGACTACGTTGGTTAAGGGTAATTGGCTTGTAGTCAAAGCTGCTTTTTCCAATACATTTCTGCACCTTCCGTTAGGAATCAAAGGAAGCTTCCTGCAATTTACAGAAGAGGAAAAATGTAGCACCACAATAGAGATCTCCAGCTGCTTGCCTTTGAATAGCTTTTTTACTTTAGGTGGCTTGGGTTAAGGAGCTTATGCTCTTCCCATACACAAATTAATCTTTAGCTCTTTTATTAAGGATTCTGCTTTAAATACAGCTTTTGCTTTCCCTAATCCCCAAGAATTGATCTGGCCTGATCCTGTAACCTTCTGCTTGTGGGCAGACTGCAGTGACCACATGGAGCTTCACTGAGTTCATTGGAGACTCCTTGCAAGCCCAAGAGACTTCATGTGTGCACTGAATTGCAGGACTGGGGCCTAAACCTGTTGTAGATCTCATAATAATATCCGATGGTACTTTATTGTCTGGGAATACTGGGGTCCAAATCAAACCTACAATTTACTATCAACTGTTGACCAGCTATGACCTTAAGATGAACACCACAGTGCCACCAAACTGAAATGATATCTACTCATCTTTTAGATGTGACATTTAGCCTGTTGGATTACTTGTAATGTGCAGGAATTGGTCAAGAATATTCCAAAAAAAATTCTTAAGCTTGTATACTGAAGTTTTAAATAGTTTATAAACCAGTAGAAGCATTCTGAAAATTGGTGAAATTGGATTTTTATTTTTTGCAATCAAATATCTTTTCTTGGGAAACTGGTAAAGAAGTATTCAAGTATATCATACATATCCTTGAAGGAAAAATATCCTACCAAATTAGTTCAGTGAGTCAATATTCAGATAAAATAAAACAGAAAATCACCAGGTACTTTGCAAACTTAATAACTTCTGCTTATTCCTTTGCTTTGATGGCAAAGGTTCATGCTTGCTCCCTTGCCAGCCATAGGAAATACACTTACAAAAAAGCCTTTGGACTCCGCAGGCTACCGTTATCTGTGGAAGAGAGTTCTGTTATCTGACATTGAGTCTATTTTTGGGAAGGGGTTCAGTTAAAATTTTGAACACTAGATAATTAGGGGGCCATATCTAGCATGAAGAACGTTTCTGCAGAGAAAAGCTCTGAGTACTAGCTCACCAGGTTCTAAATAAAGGGGAAAGTATAAACAAATTCGGTGTAGGTAGAGGCAGTATACAAGCTCAGTTACACAGAAAATGAAGCAGTAGTTTCATTTCAGTACGGTGTCTCTCTTCAGTGACTGCTGGGCACAAAACAAGAGCTGTATTAGTTATGGGACCAAGATTTCAAGCTTCAAATTATTAGAGGCTGAATCTGTTAAGGAGCATGCTATATAAAAAATGCCTACAAAAGGATGAAAACTCCCTGAATGACTAGATATAAGCACATACTTAGACTTCCCCTTGCAGATGGAGTCTGTTAGCAATGCTGTGGGGCTGGCATCTGTTAGTCAGCTACTGACTTTTGTGAAGTAAGGTTGACCTATTTTAAAATGAACTGATCAGGGTGACAGAAAGTAAAGACATCCTTTTTCACAGTACTACAGAGGTCATAAAAGTTGGAGCCTGAAATTTAGGATTAGGAATAAAGGGTCAGCTACTCCCAAGTCCTCAACTTGTTTGAGTGCTCCTATGACAGAAGCCATGTTATGGTTTCTCAGAATGTATCTATAAGTTTAAAACCTATTTTCCTTTCTCTGTAAGCAGCTTTGCAGTAACAAAGAATATCTACTGGATTTAGTAGTAGTACTGTGTAATTTGTTTTCTATGCTGTGTAATTTGGCCTTTTTAGGGGCATTGTCCACCTCTGAACAATTCTTGCTTACAACTGTAGTCCAGATAGTGCTGGATGTCCCATGCTGCTGGCTCACTTCCAGATGCATAAAATTTTAATTTATATTAGACTCCTAATATATATTTTTTCAATGTAAGCAATTGCTGTAGTTGCTACTGGGATGTTGCGACAACAGATGGGGGAAGGTAGTTAGTCTGTGCAACATCACTAAAAACACAGTCCACATCGAAAAATCTTTTACCTCTGATTTAGATTTTCTTATGGCCCCCATTATTGTAGAGTCTGAATGTCTGTTTGTGTGGGTCTTCACACAACAGTGGGGAAAGCGGGGGGAGGGAGAGAGAAATGTGACTGTAAAAACACAATTGGCAGGGGGACAAGTCTGGCAAGAATAGTGCATGAAAAACTACTCCAAACTCATTTTTTGAAACTGACTAGATCTGGGGTTCTAACTCTTTCCATAAGCTAGGTCACATCCTAGAGCAGGGGTTCTCAACCTTCTTTCTGAACCCTCCCCTTCCCCCCAACATACTATTAAAAACTTCAGGGCCCTGCGGGGCACCGGGGTTTGGGGCTTTGGCCCCATTTAGGGTTATCATGTTTCAGGTTCCCCAAAAGAAGGCACTGCCAGAGGGCGGAGGCAGAGGGGGAGCAGGAAGGAGGAGTCCCCTAACCCTCCTGTGCCCCTTCTACCCTGACCTCTGCACTCCCCTTCCATGCTTCCTGGGCACTTGGTGCAGCCTGTCTCTCACCTCCAGCAGCTGCACATAGCTCCTCCCTGGAAACAGCCACAGCCCGTCCTCTTTCTGCCCTTCCCACCAGCCTTGCAGCATGGGATTAGCTCACCTGTTGCAAAATGCAGCCCCAACTGGAGCTGCTCCCTAGAGAAAGGGTTCAGGATCTGGCAGCATGAGGCTGACATGCTGCATTGTGAAGCTGTTTGGTCCCTCACAGCTGCCAGATCCTGCCTCATCAGCTACAAGGGAAGGAACCAGTGAGGCTCTGCAAAAGCCCGGATATAGCCTCTGATTTGAAAAAATCTGCTCAGACAGACAGTGGAGAATCAAAAGAGGCTATGCCTGGGGAAAACCGGACATATGGTAATCCTAGGGTGCCGGGGCTCCTGCCTCAGAGGGCGTGGCCTCCTGAAACAGCTCTTAGCCCCCCACTTGAGAACCACTGTCCCAGAGGATTCTCACAGATAGCTTATGTTCTCACCCATTCCCAGTCGATCACTGCATTGCTCCCACTTGCAATTATGTAAATCCTTGTGACAAATACAACAATTGCTGTTTTCATTGAAAAGTAATACTGGGAAAGTGTTAGTATTTTTAGCTATCTAATGCAGTTTTAGGAAGTGGAAAGGAGGAGAGCCAACACCATGTGACCGACCAATCAGCTCTTTGCACACCACCAGCAAATGCTCCATGGCCCACCGTTTACAAACCTGAACTAGACTTCATGTTAACACTGTCTCTTTAAGCCAGTGCTGTTCTAAAGCTCAGATTGTCTCCTGCTACTTTTAGTATTCCTGACATCTGTATTTTGGTTGTATGCTTTAATATCATGGGCTGAACTTTTTTTCAGAGCGTCAGTCTGAGTTGCCAACACAGAGCAAAGCTAGCTTCCCCAGCATTCTCAGCGATCCTGACCCAGATTCCTCAAATTCTGGTTTTGACAGCTCTGTTGCCTCACAGATCACTGAAGCTTTAGTGAGTGGACCAAAACCACCTATAGAAAGTATGTGCATCTTTGTTTACTCTTAAGTTTCTGTAGTCTTTGGCACAATTACTTAAGGAGTGATATAAATGATGTGTTGAGCTACTTTTCTGTAGATTGGATTGTATGTGACCAAGCTCATACATCATAGTACAAAACTCCAGTAAAAACAAATTCATCTGATTGTACGTTGAAAAGTATTACAGTTGTGGGAGGGAGAGAGGTATTGCTATTGTCAACCTTATATTAAATATACAGTATAATAACCTTCTAAATGTAAAATGATTTTTCATTGAGTAATACGAAAAGGACTTCACCTCTTTACTTTTCCTTTGAAACAAATCTTCACAACATTGTCTTTCAGGTCACTTTCGACCAGAGTTTATCCGGCCACCACCTCCACTCCATATTTGTGAGGATGAGCTGGCTTGGTTAAACCCAATAGAGCCAGATCATGCAATTCAGTGGGATAAGTCAATGTGTGTTAAAAACAGCACTGGAGTGGAGATCAAACGCATCATGGCTAAGGCTTTCAAAAGTCCTTTGTCCTCTCCCCAGCAAACACAGGTGGGTACTATGTGCTAGCTGCCCTCCCTTCTAATCTTTCCTATGCATGTTCTTGTATTTCATACATTTTAGAAAACTAGGGTCAAATTAAATGACTTAAATAGTACTCAACTCATTATATTTGGGGATGACAGAATTCAATTTTTTTAAATAATTTCAGTGGATAATATCAATATTTGTTTATTTAAGCATTTTAAAATTTTTTATCAATTTATAATTTCCTATATTTGTGAACATTTGGGGTCAGACAGTAATTATTTAATGACAGTAGATTTTGAGATTCAAAAAGTTAAAGCTTCATAACCATTAAAACATAAATTGTCAGCATCACATGTCAAAATATACAAAGTAAATATCCTTAAATCAAACTCCTAAGTTCTCAAGCAGCATTGTTCTAAGTTGGCCTATCTGTACATTTCAGTTATCATTGATGGAAATATTTTGCCGTTGTTGTATATATGGTGAAATCAACATATACAGATGATAAAAAAATCTAATCTTTCCACGCCTATTTATATTACATAAAATTAAAATAGTCACATAGCAGACCCAGTGAAGCAGAATGATGGAACTCAAAACAAACAGTAGCCCGAGGTGCTAAGATGGAAGTGTCACTACAAGATTTAAACTCTCTAAACTCCTGTGTAGAGCACTAATCTGTCTGTGGGCACTCCAGAAGTTTGAAGATTTGTCCTGCCAAGGAGTGGACTTGCTTAAAACTGTCTCCAAATTTAGGAAATCTCAATATTGTTTGAGTTGTCTTGTCTCAATACCAAAATTCCGGAGTCTTGGTTTGTGTATGGTCAGGTGAGGAAAGCATTTTTTAAAACTTGGCAGTGTGTGTAGAAACAGCAGATAGACATTAGCTGAACAAATGGAAAATGTGACTAGTAACTAGCAACAGTATTTCCCTGCTAGGATAACCTTGTTGCAGTAATGCTGTTTCAGGTTTGGCAGAGGCTTTCAATAAGATGTTTATTTAGAAATGCTAAGGGCCTAATCTTGTCTGGCTGAAGTTAGTCGGAGTGTTACTACTGACTTCAATGGGTCTTAGTCTTATCATTGTACTGTATAAGGAGAGAGATGTTCTAGAACAACTATCTCTTTCTGTCTAAGATAACTTATCAAAGTTGTTGGTAAGGTCAGTTAAACAATGTATTTTCCGGTTCAATGAAAGAGCTAGAGCAAGAGATAAAAATGAAACTTGGATTATGTGGGTTTAATTTTTTCCACAACATACAAGGCTACTAACTGCCATGAGCTTCAAACCCTAGCTTCTTTTAAAGGCTTTTCTGTGCAGTTGCCCTGGGGCAGAAACTGAAATATTAGAAGAAAACAAAATATGTACAAGAAGAAATACTTAAATCCAAGTCGCTAGAATTATTCTCCTTTTGTATAATATAGATGGATTATTGCTTTTGTTTTGCAGGCTACATCATTTTTGTAAAAAATGCAGAACCTGTTGACAATTACAGGAAACTTGGAGTCGTTCTTCAGATCACTGGAATTTCTGCACAAGGCAGAATATTTTATTAAACTAAGTCATAATAAAATCCAGGCTAGGTTTCTAGTTCACCTTGTGTGGTCAACCATGTACAGTTTAATTCAAATTTAAAATGATGTTGTTGGTTTTTTTTTATAGCTTCTTGGAGAATTAGAAAAGGACCCCAAGCTTGTTTACCACATTGGCCTCACTCCTGCCAAACTGCCTGACCTGGTGGAAAATAATCCTTTAGTTGCTATAGAAATGTTGCTTAAGCTAATGCAGTCCAGTCAGATAACAGAGTATTTTTCTGTCCTGGTCAACATGGACATGTCTTTACATTCAATGGAAGTTGTAAATCGGTAAGTGTTCCTTGTCTTCTTAAATCTAAACTTATCTTTGTGAGTTCTCGCACTGGAGTGCTCTGATCAGTGCTGTTTTTTAAAAAAATGAAAGCATAATGTTTCACAGGAAGTACCTGATGAGTTTTACTGATTGTGGCTTTATGCATAGTGGTATAGTCAAATTTGAAAAGTAGCTTGTTCCACTGTGCCCCTAAAGGGTACCAAAGTTAGCAGGAGTTTAGGAAATAGCTGTCAAATTTCATTGAAATAGGTTTTGGCCTGAAAAAGATGGTCCTTGTGCACAAATCAGACATATTAAAGCAAGAAGGGGGAAGAGAAGACTCCTCTATGCTCTTTTACCATAGGACATAATCATTGGCTGGAAAAGTGCTGAACTCATCTGACTAAATATACCAATTTATACTATATAAGCAGACTCACTAAAATGCAGTGAAGCAGCTTTGAATTACCTGTCCTCTTGCCAAAAGAAGTCTGAACACTATCATTCAAAACTGCCTGTATGTCAAGTTAGTTTCATCCCTTTTAAGGGTTTATTCAATGAAAGGTGTAATATTGCTAATTAATTCAAACAAAGTAATAAACACTTCTTCATGAAATGCCACTAACATGAGAGGCACAGTTCATTTCAGTAGGAGTATTCATAGAAATAATTTTGCAATATATCTTAAAACAAGGCTGTGCGTAGTAGTGGTTTTGCCTCTGTGATATGAGTGTTGTGTCCGCCATTTTGTTCTGCAAATGAAATAGGGCAAATCTTGAAATCTTGCTTCTTATTTGAAATTCACATTGAATCCCACCTCTTAATAAAAAAGTGTAGTTCTATTGGGTTAATGGCAATCTCAGTAGAATGTTATGCTTAACTAGAAGTTTCTTACTTTTCTACATTTATATATCTAAAGAAAATCAACTCTTCTGTGCTGTTGTAAATCAAATCACGTGACAGTGAATGTATTTAGTTTGAATGGTTGTGGCTTCTCTCATTTTCATGTTGAACTTGACAATTATTTATATGTAAAATTTCTTTGTGTATCATCTGTGTACATCAAGAGAACACTTTTAGTAGGAATAAGCTTTTTTCAGTCTTCACAGCTTTATGAAAATTTATCTGATCACCACAAACTTTTAAACTGAGTTTTTTGCCTAATAACCACCATCTAATATACAAAAGCATCCTTATTAGAGAGCAGCTAGTTCTATGAATAACAGCACTCATATGAGAAAGTGACAATGTATCCTTTTAAAAAAAAAAATCTATCTTTAACATTTCAAGATTTGCTAATCAATAAGCCGTAAACGTTTTAATATTGCCATACTTATCTGCTACAGGAATGCACAAAATGACAGAATAGTGCACTTCTGGGGTCTTGCAATAATTAGATTCAGAAATAGTATTAGTTACTGTTGTTTTCCAGAATAGACTGTAGAAATGGCACTAGCTTATTTAACAAATCTGTTCCACTGGTGTACTCTGTACCTGACACAAGTGGTAAATGTTCATGTTTTTACTGTTAGTCCTGCAAGACTGAGACAGATTCTATTTCATATTGTGCATCGGAATTATTCCATTCAGTTACATCAGGTACCGTTGCTTTCATTCGGTTTAATTTAGGTCACTGACCATTTTTAACGTGTGTGTGTGTGTGGAATAAAGAACGTAACTTCTCCTAGGGTATATCTGTCTACATAGCAAAGGGGCTGTGGGGCTGCTTCATTGCTGTGTAGACTTCCGAGGTTGGGCTCTATCCCCATCCCAGAAGTCTACACAACAATGAAACAGCCCCACCGCTCATTGCTATGTAAAGTTTGTAGAGGAGTAGTGAAAAAACTTCACTTGTAAATTGATCACCTTTGATATTGAAATTGGAGACAGATTTCAATGCCATTTTTAGTCCTCTTAGAATAGTATTGTACTGATACTCCTGAGGCCTATGGGGAAGCACTAATAGAGAGATTTTACAGCAGCTCATCTTAACTGGAATGATTTTTTTGGGGTGGAAGAGAAGAATCAGAAGATGTCAACAAGAGCATGTGAAGGGTGAGATTGTCGTTTTTGCCTAGAGTTTATGGAAATACAATCTGGGAGCATTTTAATACCAAAACTACTACTAGTGTGAGTCTGAGGAAGTACTGCTTCTTCCAGGGTAAAGTTATGATCTCGTTTCCTTGTTTCTCGCTTTCTCTCTCCTCAGACGCCTCCCCTGTTATCTCTACTGTTTTGCAGCAGGCAGAATGAACAGGAGCAACAAGAAACACACAGTTCTTGTTCATTCAGTCAGCTGGAGAGATGTGCCACCTGCTATAGAGGGAAAAGTCCTACATCTGGAGTCAGTGCAGTGATTCTTTAACAGAAGGTTCTGCTAGATCATGTGTTACTTTTAAAAGAGTCTACTTAGAGACACTGACAGCAATGGATTTTGATGCCTCTGTATAATGCTACGCTTATGGATGCTGTAAACTTCTAGAGCGAAAGCTCCATTGCATACGATGGGTACAACAGAACTGTTATGCAGGGGCATTTCTTTGTTTTTATTTACATAACACACAAACTAGATTAAATTGCAAAGTCACACTCGAGAGTTTGAAAATGCCAGAATAAAAGTTGTCTGTGCAGCTTTAATTGGGCCCCCTTGTGCCTGTACGTTGATAGTCTTTATTTACATGATCACATACAATTTTTCCACAGGACCCCCACCTCCTTCAGTGCACGGGATGTACTTGCTCTGGATTGGAATCAGGGCTGTGTAGTGAAACAGACTATCTAGAACCCTGCCTCATTTGTTGCAGAACTTGGAAGGTGTGTAGTGAAGAGAAAGGATGACCTCATAGTTAAGGCAGTTGGAGAATTGTATTCTGCCTCAGCCAGAGTTCCTGTGTGATGCTACACAAGTCACTTGAACCAAACCCTTCGCAGGTCGTCACTAATTGTGTGTTCTTCATTTTCTGGGTGCCTGACTTGATTTGCAGAAGTGCTGAGCATTCAGAGGAGGGTTTGAATAGTATGCAGTACATAAGACTTAAGGCCCAAGGGCCACATAGTGAACAATGAGTATAAAACAAAATATTGAACAGCTGCTCTGCTCACTTAGTGAGCATCATCCTTCCTGTGCCTTAAATGAACCAGGGGTCTTGTGGAAAAAATACTGTATCATAATGCATACACACAAGGGAGCCAAATTAAGCCTGCACAGGCAACCTTAAATCAGGTATTTTGTGACTCTTGAGTGTTTGACATGAAGGTCACCCCCTGCCAAAATTTAAAGTCCCTGTTCCAAAGCATGGGGGCAGGGGAGTGCATCAGAGAAAAGGTCACCAGAATATTTTAACATGGGCAAAACTTATTTTTCCCTTGTCTCATTCTTGGAAATGGCTGAATTATTTTGGTTAACGTTTTAAAAAAAAACCAAGCTGAGGTGTAGACATCCAGCATGTAAAATTTCAGCCCAAATATTAAAGTTTGGCAAAGTTATAAGCAACTGAAAACAGGGTCTTAATGGGAAGGGTAGTGCTACCTTACTCTGAAGTGCTACCAACCCCACCTATAATACAGCTGACTTTTTTTTTTGCTTCTGGCATCAGAGATGTACTCAAATTTGCTTAGTTGGGACAAACTACTGTCAGATAAGTATGTTCTGAGAAGTTTTATTATAATAGGCTTGGATGTTGACTTCCGGATCTATTGTAATTGACCAGTTGGGTTTCATACCCATGATTAAATGTTACTGTAGTGATATGTAGCTTGCTTGTATGTTCATGCATTAAGGAACTATTTTTGAATGAGAAGCCTAATTCTTCTTCCCCTCATGCCAAACCCTGTAGTTTTCTTCCTTCCTGTCCCCACTTCAGCACTGCAGACTACTTTTCTGGATGTTTAAAAAAGAAAAACTGCTAACACTGATCTGCATTAGTCTCCTGAGTAAAATGTTTTAAGTATTTAACCTGAAAGTTTCCCAGAGGCTACAAGCTAAATGAGAAGTAGTTGGAACTTCTTCCCCATCTCTTGGTCTTTCAACTATTCACGCAAATTTGTGAAGCGTTCCATACTATTCAAGGAGTTGTTAAACACCTGGTTCCATTTCTGCAATGTTGATGAATCAGTCCTCAGGTGCACAGTATAAGTACCAAGCCTTCCCTAAAGCTGCCGAGTTGACAGTTCTACCCACTTCGAGGTAGTAGCCATCAAGCTGCTAGGGCCTCTGCTCTGCTTTAGGAAGGAATGGCAGTAGGTAAATGGTTCCCACTCCTGTCTAGTACAACCACAGAAGATCACAGGTGTTCTGGTCGTCGTCGTCTCCTCCCCCCCCCCCCCCCCCCCGCACAGTGAAAATCACATCAGTTCTGATGCAGGCAGGGTCCTCCCCACAAAAGATACAGGGCAGGAGTTTTACATAAAATTTAAAATGGTTGGCAGTGTCAAAAGGGAAGTTTGAGGTGAGGGAAATCAGGTAAAGTAAATGTCCTGTGGGATATAAAAAACACTTGCAAAGTCTTATGATAAGACACCTACTGACCTACATGCTCCAGTCTTCCGAACCACTTCATTAAAAAGCCAAAACCTTTGTGATCCAGCAAAGTTCCATACTGGTTGCACAGCAGTCTAGTGCAAGCTGGAGCATCTTGCAGAACTGCATCTAACTGGCATACTTCAAATGTGATGTAAGATCATTCCTTAGTTGTTGTACCTCTCTTACTTTGTGGGTATTGAAACAACTTGAAAACAACTTAAAAGTCCCCTTCAAACAAGTCAGATGGCAGTTGTACACCTTAATGATCCATTAGTATAGTACATGTATTGCGTGATTGAAGATATTATGTCTATAGCACTATTCTGAAAGCACAAGCTCTCTTGCTTTCTCGTATTTTAAAAAAATGTTCTCTAGCTCGCTCTTTCGTGAGACACTTCTGCTTCTTCACACCAATAGTGTGATTAACATGTTTAGTCATTTAAAGTCTTTTGAACTTATTTTGAAATCCAGATATTAATGATGTTCTAATTCCCATGATTTCTAAATTTAGAACCCTGAAAAAAACTAAGGCAAACTAACGTTTTTGAAGCACAAAATAATGCTGTTCCAGATGTGTATTTTAGAAGAAGTGTTCCAGCTTCTAGAACTTGACCTCTGATGCTGATATACACAGTTGCATTTGATGCTTGCTACAGTATGAAATTGTCACTCAAATAAGCTCTAATCTACTCAGATAAGTAACTTGAGAGTTTCTGTTGCTCTGCATGCAGTGCCCATCACTAGCTTCTGTAGGGTTTAAGAAGTGCATCTGCTTATTAGACAGTAAAGATCACATGGGTGCCTTTGACGTAGGCCTCCTGCATGGAGACATCTAGAGAGTAACATTAAATAAAACCAATTTCTATATTGCACTTGATGTAAAAATAGATTTGCCTTTTGATGTTGGTGTCCGGCTAGTGCAACACACTTATTGGACATAACTAAAATGTTTGGAGTTATGGTCTTTTGACAACTCCCTTAGACATTACAGTGGATTGTCGATGAATCGTATACAAATTTGAATTATGAGGGTAACTATACTTGTCCATTGTTTAATGGTACTATGGATGATTAACTTGCTACTTTATCTGTACATTAATCAGCTGGTTTTACATTTAACAGGCTTACTACAGCAGTTGATCTCCCTCCTGAATTTATTCACCTTTATATCTCCAATTGCATCTCTACCTGTGAACAAATTAAGGATAAATACATGCAGGTGGGTATTTGAGAATGACTTGGTTAAAAGTCAAGATGAGGCATCTTCAGTAGTGAGATTTAATAAGGTGACTACATTGGGAATTCACATATTCCCTCTTTACGAATTGTGACTTCAAGAAGTAAAATACTGCTTTAATGAAATTCTGATGTTTAATAAGCATATGATTGAGTAGGGGTTGTTCCTTCAGTATTTTTATAGGCGCACAGGTAGTAGTCTTAATTTTCTGCAGAGTACTTCATGCATTCAGTAGAAAAGTAGTTGTACAGTGCTTCCCTTACATTATTCAGGACTTTATATGGTGTCAGAGAGAGTCAGATCTCTCACTTGGTACCCTTCTCTCCATCCACATATTAGATTTTTACCTCTTCTCCCTGTCCTCAAGCTTCCAGATCCTTCCACTTCTAACTTTATTTCTGCATAGCGCTGTGCTTTGTCATCAGAGAAACACTCCAGAATCTCCTGCACTTTTTAGTACTGCAAAGGGAAGTGCCCACAGTTACCAAAATAAACAGAAGGCATTCTGTTTCTAAGGACACGCTATGCAAAAAAGAATTACACTTGAAGTGGAAACAAAATGGCTCTCAGGGCTAATGTGTGGCATTTCAAAACCTTAGCAAATGAGGCAGCACCCTGTATTTCCAACCTTCTTGCCCTGCGTTTGGCATGGCTCCCAGCTTTTTAAAATTCCTCCGTCTGAAAAAATCCACAAATTCTACATCCTCTAGCATGAGAAATTATTCTGCAATAATTTCTTTTAGGAAACATTACTCTTAAAATGAGTTTTTTCCTAAAAGTAATGACTAAGTTATCCTTAATGCTCAGTACATATATTTAATATCCTCTTGAGTCACTCTATTGTGGAAATCTTGTATTCAGATCCAAGTTTTTGCCCAAGAGGTAGCCATGCCACCTACGTATAAAGTAAGTGTACAGTGGTAGGACCTAGTTCGTACAATCAGTAAAAAAAATTTCATGCAGGACTGAAGAGCATGTCCAGCTCCCTATCCTTAACATTTCATTATAGGGCAGCAGACGGGAAAAATAAAGGGCTAAATGCAGATTGTATAAATCTTGAAGTGAAAAGGTTGGTAAACTGATATAACTAATTCTAGTTGAATTGTCACAAAATACCAGTACAAAGGGTCAGACTCTTCAACAGAATTTCTTGGGCATATTTTCAGATATTAAAGCCAGACCTTTTCTGTTTCAGAACCGCCTGGTACGTCTCGTTTGTGTCTTCCTCCAGTCTTTGATCCGGAACAAAATTATTAATGTACAGGACTTGTTTATAGAAGTGCAGGCATTTTGTATTGAGTTCAGTCGGATACGAGAAGCAGCTGGCCTTTTCAGATTGCTGAAGACATTGGATACTGGGGAAAACCCTTCGGAGGCAAAAGCTTCAAAATAAGACCCTTTCAAAATTTGGCGAAACAGCGGTCAGCTGAATGTTCTGTATCATTACTTTTTTGTGTATAAATTTTAAACTTAAATCAGTGGATTGCTTGGTTTAATACTGTATAAATAGCATTTTATGCATAAAGCAAGGCAATAAATATTGCTTTTCTGATACTAGACCATCTTGAATTTGTTTTGATTTTTGACACTGGACACACCGTATTTTCTGTCCTTGACTATTAAGCCTGAGGAACAATAATCCTTAATGGAAGAATCTCCTAAAGTGCAAGCATTGCTTACTTCCAAGGGACTTAAATTTTACTGGAGAATTATGTGATGCCCCTGTCCAAGAAAAATAAGCTTGGAGGGGGAAGGACAGAACATGAGAATGTCCAACATGTTCAGTGAGTTGTTTCAAATCATGCTAAGCAAGCTTAGAATTGCTACTGCCAGTTGAAACTGAGGGAGTGAAGTCACTCCAAATTCCATCATGCCAATTTTTTTAATAAATTCATGGTACCTGTAGAGGTTTAGATTAAAAAAAATTACATTTCTAGGGAAAATATAGATGCAACATGCTAATCACTCCTTTTAATCTTTAAAGTAATCGTGAAGGGTTACTCCATCAACAGTTCTTGTCTCAATATTCTGAGACTGACATGGCTACAACTACACTGCACACATCCTAGAATAGATTTCAGAGTGGTAGCTGTTAGTTTGTATCAGCAAAAAAAAAAGTACTTGTGACACCTTAGAGACTAACCAGTTTATTTGGGCATAAGCTTTCGTGGGCTAAAACCCACTTCATCAGATGCATGCAGTGGAAAATACAGCAGGAAGATATATACACAGATAATGAAAAAATGGTTGTTGCCGTACCAACTGTAAAGAGACTAATCAATTAAGGTGGGCTATTATCAGCAGGAGGGAAAAAAAAAACCTTTTTTAGTCATAATCAGGATGGCCCATTTCAGATAGTTGACAAGGTGTAACAGTAGGGAAAAAATTAGCATGGGGAAATAGTTTTTACTTTGTGTAGTAACCCATCCACTCTGTCTTTATTCAAGCCTAATTTAATGGTGTCCAGTTTGCAAATTAATTCCAATTCAGCAGTTTCTCTGAGTCTGTTTTTGAAGGTTTTTTGTTGTTGGAGAATTGTGACTTTTAGGTCTGAAATTGAGTGACCAAAGAGATTGAAGTGTTCTCTGACTGGTTTTTGAATGTTATAATTCTTGATGTCTGATTTGTGTCCATTTATTCTTTTGCGTAGAGACTGTGGTTTGGCCAATGTACATGGCAGAGGGGCATTGCTGGAACGTGATGGTAGATGTGCAGGTGAATGAGCCTCTGATAGTGTGGCTGATGTGATTAGGCCCTATGATGGTGTCCCTTGAATAGATATGTGGACACAGTTGGCAACGGGCTATGTTGCAAGGACAGGTTCCTGGGTTAGTGTTTTTGTTTGGTTGCTTGTATTTGCTTCAGTTTGGGGGGGGTGTCTGTAAGTGGGGACTGGCCTGTCTCCCAGGATCTGTGAGTAAGGGATTGTCCTTCAGGATAGGTTGTAAATCCTTGATGTGCTGGAGAGGTTTTAGTTGGGGGCTGAAGGTGACAGCTAGTGCCATTCTGTTACTTTCTTTGTTGGGCCTGTCCTGGAGTAGATGACTTCTGGATCAGTGTTTGTTTTTTTTCCTCCTGCTAATAGCCCACCTTAATTGATTAGTCTTGTAACAGTGTGTATGGCAACACCCATTTTTTCATGTTCTGTGTGTGTGTGTATATATATATATATATATATCTTCCTACTATATCTTCCATTGCATCCATCTGATGAAGTTGGTTTTAGCCCATGAAAGCTTATGCCCAAATAAATTTGTCTCTGAAGTGCCACAAGTATTCCTCATCCTAGAATAATTATTCAGGGTGACCCTTAACCTGAGATTGAGTGGCCAAGGGTTTGGTGACTGATCACTGCTAGGTACCTATGAGGATGAATCCTGAGAAGGGAGGATATTCTGAAGGCTGAGCTGGTATTTGTGAAAGACTATCATACCCAGGAATATGGGAGTCCAGCAAAATTTTTATGACTGGCTTCCTGGGATGTTCTGAGGGTGACTTGACTCAAATAATCCAAGGAAAGACACTGTAGTTCAGGTGTTATCCATGTATCAGCTGCTTCCCTGAAGGAGAGTGCTGTGGTGTTCAGTGCACTTGTAGCATAACTGCTGTCTGGTCCTTAGCAGATGGAGGTGCTCTTGGTACTGCAGTCTGACCTGACACACTTTGAGCCGGGCCTAAGAGTTCTGGTGTTGAAGTGTCTGGCAGTACCACAGACTGGTTCTGAGGAAACCCTAAAAGCCTGGGCTGAGGGCGTGTAACAATCCCTTAAGTCTGGGGGCTGTGCCTCTAACACAGCCCATCTTACTGTTGCTTTCAGCAGCCCCTCTGATAGATTCTCTTTTATGGTACTGGGGAAGGTGACTGCTTCCTGGCAACTGATCTGTCACATCATTGCTTAGTTCTGGGGGTAGCTGTGTCCGTTTGAGGATGAGTAGGAACAAGGGATAGTGATGGAATAAATCAATATTGCTGCTGGCTTTGAGCTGATGTGCTGCAGAGTACACAACCCTGATTATAGGCTAGTGCTGTAGGCATAAGGCTGAAACATTCCTAGCTTAACAAACAGGGTTGCTTAAATTGCACATGGTAGATAGTTCTCTATAGTAGCATGCCACTTCAGTAAGGGAGTGTTAGAAGCCTAATTCACAAAAACTCACCATTACACTAGAGGGACCTTCTGTGTGCACACCTTAAAGACCTGCCCATATCATAGCATGGGTAAATGCAGTATTTTTAAGAGGACCTCCCTATCTGAATTTTTAATTGTAAGGATTACAGGCATGAAAGCTTCCTCAAATTTTTAATGCATCCATCTCAAGCTGACTAGAACAATCTTGCTATACTAGGTTTCAGAGTAGCAGCCATGTTACTCCTGTTCTTTTTGCAGATACAGACTACCTGTGGCATGTTAGACTAACATTTATTAGAGCATAAGCTTTTGTAAGCTACAGCTCACTTCATCAGATGTATAGAATGGAACATATAGTAAGATTATATATACACACACAAATTGGAAGTTACCATACAAACTGAGGCTAATTAGTTAAGGTGAGCTATTAGGAGAAAAAAACTTTAGTGATGAGGATATTTAACTTCACAAAATAGATTCAATGTGTAATGACCCAGCCACTCCTATTACTATGCATCTGATGAAGTGAGCTGTAGCTCACAAAAGCTTATGCTCTAATAAATTTGTTAGTCTTTGAGGTGCCACAAGTACTCCTGTTCTTGTTATACTAGTCCCTCCTCCCATCTAGCTTCAGAAGGATTTCATGCCCCAGAGCGGATGACTGAGAAGGAAGTGGGAGAGGCCATACAGGACTTGCACCTGGCTTGTTCTTTCAGGGAGGGGGGGGGTCCTGTAACTCTCCACTAGGATCTGAGCCCAGATTTAATGATAAGACTAGTACACCACCTCTGTGTTCCTACCAATGAGTAAAGAACAAGTTTTTCTCAGTACTACATTCAATGTTGAAACTCTAGCATCTTTAGGAAAGAAGCTGAAGAGCCAGTTGTATGTGAAGCAAATTAAAAGCTAGCTGGTATAATAAGGTTAAGAAAGCAGTCAAGTTTTTTAATACCATTCCATTTAATAAGCCCATACAACTTACAGGATTTTAGGTTTTTTTACTAATAACTTTTTAAATACACAATACATAACATTGATTTCTTTAATTCAACATTTTCTTAAATAGTTTAAAGTATACAATGAAAAAAGTTTGATGTACTGTATCCAATCAGTGCAACCAAGTTTATTAAAAAGTTAGCACTAGGCTTGCCATTATCAAAGTCAAACAGTTTGAGTAGTAGTTTACTCATTCTGGTTTTGCTCAATATCAATCAAGTTTGAACAAGTTATTTCTGTGGATTGAATGTTTTCCTAAGCATTAGACCAAAGCAGTCCCTGTAGTTGCCAATCAAAGGCAAAGTCCCACCAGTGGACTCAAAACTAACACATTTTCCTGTTAAGTTTTTAATGCGTTCATTTTAAATATCAGATGATTCCACCTGGTGACTGAAAGAACAAGAAACCTTCAAATATTAATGGTAACTCAGTGAGCAAGTTCAACTAGCAATTACTTGCAGACATAGTCTTTCACTATAAACATCAAACTTAACTGAATTAAGTTTGACTTAGGGCTTTAAGAAAAAAACTAAAGCTCTCAACTACTTACTGTATTTCATTAATTCGGTAGGAGTTACACTTTCTCATCCTGTTTTTCAGACTGAAATATATTCTTTAATTAAAAATGCAGCAATACCATGTTGTAGATGGAATACAGTATAAGTGATACCTACTAAATTAGATCCCTGTCCAATTAGAGTATAGGTGGACTTGTTAAGTTCCCTGGTAATGAATTCTCTTACACAGATACATGCAAACAATCAAAGATATCCTACTTTAACAATCTCAGGTCAAAATTTTGCCACATGGCAAGTTATCCAAGAACAGAGTTCAGTACCCAGTTTGAATACATGAAAACACTAACTTTATGTATGTGCATCTTTTATATTTCCAGTTCTGGAATCTTCACACCATGTCACCTGTATGAGAGAAGAGAATATTAAGTAAATAGCACAAAGAGTCCGATTAAGAATGTAAGTTAGAACGTTATTTTGGTGCAGCATTGAAAGTTGTAGAACTGATGAAAGGGAAGAGACTGCTTGTTGTGGCTGAAGTCAGAAAATGGAAAATAGCACTTGTTCATTTAGCTGCTGGCTGCCACATTTCTCATCTATAGGGCAGCACCTGCCAAATTCCATCATACTACTAGGTTGAATCTACTAAGAGCAGTGTCATTTTCTCCCAAGTTAAACTCCAGTTGCTCACTCTGTTCCCCAGGGGCAGAAGAGTTGATCTGACGCTCCCCTATTGAATAACCTCATGTCTTCCACCAAGAAGTAGTTCTGCATTAAATAGCACATGATGTTGAAAGTCACTGATGGAAGCTATACACAACCTCCCAACTCCGGTAACTTAGATTTTCTTAAATCTCCACAATGAAGTCATTGCCCTTATGATCTGCAGCACTCTTATTATTTGGAGCTGTCTGGAGCACAATTTCCCAATTTTGCCAAATGCTGCGGAGTGGTTCTAAAGTGCAACATTAGGGCACCTTTATTGTTCTTTGTAGCCTGTACCATATTTGGGATTAGGTTCCACACACTGAATATGCCAGCCTTAATTTATTGTACATCTAGTCTCAAGATTACTGGCATTGTTAATAGTAAACTTATCAAAACTCTCCTCTAAAGACAAGAAGCCTGCTTTGGGGTTATATAACCATCCTAACCAGAGCTGGCAAAGCATCCAACTGCAGCCATAATATAAAAATCACTAACATTGCTCTCTAAACAGTCTCAACACCCCTGTAAGGCACAATTGTTCCATTTTACAGAGGGAAAAAGTGAGGCAGAAGTCCCAGTAAACTAGTGGGAGGTCAGATGAAAGAACTTTCACACCACACAATCAGCTTATGTAACTGACAATATAATAGAGGCCAAGAGGTTAGAAAGATTCAAAATGGGATTTGATATGTTATAAAAGGTGCTAGAATTATAGTAGTAAATTTAAAAAATAAAATAAAGGGCTGTGAAAGGGATATGAATCTTCATGGTTTTCAAGGTTTCACACAACCTCTAGCCATTGGTGGGTTAACAGGAAACATTCCCAGGTGGCAGGTTATCCCATAACTATTGCAGGAGTTTTGGTACCCTCTCTCAAGCATCTAATATTGGCAACAAGATACCCGGATAATGGATTCATAAAATAAGGCCAGAATAGACTAGTATCATTCTAGTCTGACTTTCTGCTTCGCACAGGATAAAGAACTTCATCCAATAATTTCTGGATCAAATCCATAACTTTTAATGTAACTACAGCATACCTTTTAGGCACACAACTAGTCTTGACTCCCCCATGTAGCTACTTGCAGACCAGGATCAATTTATCTCAACCTTCTCATGGATAAAATATACTGAGACTAAAAAAAGCTCAATTTAAAAGGCATATTTTCCAGACCTTAGATCTTTTTATAGCTCTCTTCAGAAGGCTTTCCAATTTGTCAACGTCCTTTTTGCAGTGTTGACACCAGAACGGGACACAGTATCCCAATAATTCTCACTAATGCCAGATACAGAGGCAATACCACCTCCTCACTCGTTTTTCTAAAAAATAGGAATTACGTTGGAAGTTCTGTAGCCTGTGTTATACAAAAGCTCAGACTAGATAACAATGATCCATTCTGGCCTTGGAATCTATCAGTCTACTAGATATGCATCAGTTTATACGCCCAAGGATCATGTTTACCCTCTTAGGTACATCACCACAGTGGGAGCTCATGTTCAGGTGACTACCTTGTTTTTCAGTCATTACTTTCAAAGATATAGTCAACTCTTTTATGTGTAACATACATTATTTGTTCCTAGATGTATGATCTTGCACATGGTTGTATTAAAAACATTCAAATAAGCACTCTTACCATGCGATCCAGAGCCGGTTACCACTCCACCAATTTGTGTCACCTGCAAGTTTTTACCAGTAATGATTTTATATTTTCTTCCTGATCACTAAAAGATACTGAATGTCACAGGGCAATGAACAGACTCCTGTGGGATCTCATTAAAAACAGTCCCATTGGGTGACTATTCTCCATTTACATTTTTTCCCCCCCATTTTCAGTTAACTAATTTTTAATTCATGTAATATGAGCGGTTGAATTTGAATAGTACTTTTTAAAAAAATCAGTATGTCATACAAGACTAGGTCAAATGCCTTACAGAAGACGAAGTATATTTTATCAGTTATCTTTATCAAGCAAATCTGGAATCTTATTTAAAAAGAAGATACCAAGTTTTCTTAACAATACCTGTTTTCCATAAAAAAATATTGATTGGCATTAGTTACACTGCCTTCTTTACTGATTGTGTCCCATACCAGCATTTCCCTGATACTGTCTGGGACTGATGTCAGGCTAACCTGCCTGTAATTTCCCAGGTTCTCATTTACCTTTTTTTAAATACTGGCACAACGTTTTCTCTCTCGTCCTCTATCAGTCTGATCCAAAATGGCAAGTCCTGTGTTCTGGACAGGCAAGATCTCTCAGTTATCTATCTACCTCAGTTAATTCTAATACTGTTTAGCCCATTTATGTAGAGCAGTGGTTTTCAACTTTTTTCATTTGTGGACCCTTAAAATTTCAAATGGAGGGATGGACCCCTTTGGAAATCTTAGTCTACGGACCCCAGGGTCTGCAAACCACAGATTGAAAGCCACTGATCTAGGAGGTCACTTTACATAGTAACACTAGACTGGTTATCGACTTACGACAAGGGAAATATTTCAGGAGGTTTCTGACAGTCTTTTGCTACCATTTGAAGTCCAGAGAGGGTTTCTTCCACCACCTGTGTTTCTCCACCTACCTCTAGAAAAGCGGTTACTGAGGTCAGACTAATAATTCGCTTCAGGAGACTTTGTCATTGTGCTTCCAAAGAGAGCAAACTGCTTATGGAGACACTGCAATTCGGCCTTTTATTGTCATCATTCCTCAGCAACACAGAAGTCCTTACAAAGCTTGGCATAGCAAAAGAGGAGGATCCCTTATGATTGCATCATATGATATTGTTACTGATAATCAGAATCACAATACATCCTAAATGAGTTTATATACATTTAAGCAGCTATGAGGGACACCATAACTATTCTCACGGAAGCTGTGGATTCTCAGCACCTCTGAACAACAACAAGGTGTCAAGTTGAGCACTCAAATATTGGGTTGCACAAAATTAATGGACATTTCTGAATTTCTGTCTGCAAGTGACTTGGCTATGGTTTCAAAAAGTCAGTGGCGGAGCTAAAAACATATGCCAGGAATCCTTGATACCACGTCTATGCTCTACAAGACAACACCACCTCTAAATCAGTCAAACTTAATGTTTTGAAACAGCTTGACAATGGTTGGCTGGCCCTTTAAGGGGAGTAAGGGTCATCTTATCTGTGACAGGCTCCTGTAAGAGAAGTCAACCCACACCCACCAGGACATAATTAAATCTAAGGTGGCTGATTGGTAGCTAATTAGCCTGATAAAGGGTTACCAGGGCTCAGCTGGGGGGTGAAAGTGTTCTAGAAACAGGAAGCTCCTGAGGAAATATGCTCCCAGGAGAGCTCACCAGAGCAAGGAGTCCAGAAGGTGCTCTTCTAGGGACAAGGAACTCCCAAACAGTGGCAGAAAGCCCAGCCTGTCAGGAACTACACACTGCTCCAGAGAAGAACTGCAGTTGATATAGCTCTGCTGACCCTTGGCTCTGGGAAAGGATTCTCCTCAGATAGTGGCAAGAGGCCTGATTCCAGTGAAGAGACCTATGCTGAGAGAACCCTGCTAGTACAGGGCCCGGATGGAAGGAAGCACTGGATCCAGGTTGAAATGGATAAACTAAGACTGATCATCTCCCAGCTAAGACTCTCTGGTGACGTTTTGCTTGTATTTTCATTGGGCCTCATTGAATGTACGGATGACACATTAGGGGAAACTGAGCCAGGGAAAGTCGGGAGCACCATGCTTGGCCAGCAGAGAGTGCTACAGTGCAGGTATGCTGTGAGACAGCTTCGTAATCTTCCTCTGAAAATTTTATAAGCAAATTTGCAGATTCTTTAACTTTCTTTGCCACATTTCTCTCCAATCTTACATGCTATTCTTCAAGTGAGCAGACAATCTATTCATTCCTTTTCACTTTTTAATGGCTTATATATAAGGCCCTACTCAATTCGGGATATTGCAGAAATTGCGGATCCCACAATACTACAGTTCCACCTAAATTTTCTCAGCTGTGCTGCTGACAGACAGCAGGGGATCCCAGCCGCCCAAGGGGCTCCTGCTGTCAGCCTTGCACATTGATTGTAATATAGTTGCAGTAAAATGTCTGGTTATCAAAAAAATGACTAGGCATAACAATTCTTGTGTTTATATTGTTCCAGCAAATTTTTTCTTAAATAGGTCTTTCTTAAATAGGATTTTCCAAATTACCACAATTTAAAAAAGGCCCATTATTACTTTTCTGCGATTTCCTACTTCTTGTCCACCACTCAGCCGCAATTATTGGACAATCATCCCACAATTCAAGTAGGGCCTTACTCTTACATAGAAGTTGTACTACTCACCACAATGCTCCCTTCAATGTGGATTCCATGTCTTGCAGGTATCTGCATCATCTGGAGACTCCCAATGTGTCTGATAACTTCCTACAGGCTCCTGACTGATGAACTGGAGTTGTGACCCTCTTGACATTTATCCACTAAGAATGTTCAACTTTGTGTTAAGGAAGAGGGAGAAGACTCAGTTGCTATATTAAAGAGTAAATTAAAAAGGCAGTCCTGGAAGTAAAGATGAGCTTGCTTTGGAGGCATACTGGTTCCTATGCATCAAAACTGTTTGGAGATGGGGATGTCAGTTATTAAATATTCCACTTCCCCATGTGCTTCTCATCAGATAGAGGCATCACAAAAGTTGCACCTGCTGGTGAAATGAGAGAACTATGCCCTGACAATTATTCCATGAAATCTAACCAGGGGGCAATCCTACTGGGCAGGGGGGAGGAGGAGGCAGATCTTAAGTTATCACTACTGAGAACGTTTTGGAAAAACAAATATTTGATTATGAACTGTTTGGTAAAGTAAATGCTCATTTTTTTCCCTCAGTTGAAAACCTTCATTTCTGGAACATTCATTCTAAAATAAAATTACTGCTCCAATTGAAGCACAATACAAATTAGAAAAGGATTGCATATTTTCATTTTCTTAAAAACATTCCAAATACACATTGTTTTAGAAACAAAGTGCACTTGAACAAATGCCTGACAAAAGACACTGCTTTAAGCAACTTTACAAAAAGTCTGAGGAATGTACCATATACATTCATTTGTAACATGACAATACTAAAAGCCTAAGAATTCAACACTATTAAAATGTACACAGTATTGTAAACATACGTCGTTCTTTACAAAACAATTTAGCATTTCCTTATACTATCTATTGTATGTAACTATCCGAACAGGATGTCAAAAAGAAGGGGTTGATATTTCATCTTTGATGTTTTGGGTTTAGTAATAAGTGCTTTTAAAAAAACAAAACACCCACAACTATAAGGCACAATACTGCTAATCTAGCAAAGGAAAAAACTAATGACAACCCCAAAGTCATAATGGAAAATAGCCAAAAGGAATTTCCTAGTTTATGGGACAAAAGCAAAGACCCCTAGCTTCATAAAAAGATCTTAAGGAGGGATCCCAACTTGTGTACATGGAAATGGGGACAAGAGTGTAAGAGGGAAATCAGGGAAGTCTAAAACAGAAATAAATTCCCTAGCCATAATAGCCCTTTTCTACTCTGTTTTACTGAGTTAAAGATTGAGAGGGAGGTAACTGACATGAATGCTAGATAAGTCAACACGCTCAACATGTTAAGACTGTCCAGCAAAGACACTGAAGTCAACTGTTACTGCTAGAAGTTAACAAGCTGGAAAAATTTAAGTACTCAGCTCTGAGTTGGAAAACACTAAGAACCAACAATATTAAGAAAGTTGCGATAAATTATTTTTCAACCAGTGGTGGGAGGAGTGGAAGATGCCATGTAATATCAAAGAAATTATTTGATATTTTCACAAATCTATTTTGCATGCTTCTTAAACATCCAGCTCCAGTTACAGCAAAATGTAATTTTTTTTTCAAGTACGGTTTAATAAAATGTAGTGTTGTAAATGCTTTCAGCTTTATGTACATGCTAAACGTAAACACAGTGTAACCAACATTTATCCATTAAACTTTTTATATTCTGTTCTCTCATCCTAGTCTACACCTTTGTTACAGCCCTCTGGAACACACTGACATTGTAATAATTCTTGTATCAACAGAGGTATTGCATCTCTCATAGGATCAGACAGACTAGTTTTAAAAAATCCTCTTTATACAAAATTCTTAGTTATTAGCCCTTTTGGAATATGAACTAGAAAAGTTCTCAAGGTAAAATAAATTACATTGTTATTTTTCCCATCAACTAGGCAAAAGTTCATACTAATTAAATAAGAAGTTCGTTAAGCAGTCTAATCAGAGAGTCTTCCATGAAGTTTTCAGTGGGAATTTCCGTTAGACAGATGTTCTCCATGCCGACTATCACTGCCATCCAGGTCTAAAAATTGGGAGTTATAAAATGTAAATCATAATTTGTTAAAACTGGTTATTTAAATATTAACGTGGTAAGCTATTATATTTACTGACGCTATCCCATAAAGAAACAATTTGGGGACAAGTTCTACAGTCAGTCATGCAAAATTCCCTTTGATTTCAATGGCAAAGCAAAATAGTGCACAGGAAATGAAGGTTACTTATAACCAGAATTCTTGGAGATGACTGCATAGTCGCACTTATGGATGTTGTGCCACCTGGTGGCACCTAATGGCAGAACCTTCAAGCAGTGCCAATTCAGAGTGCACATGCACCCCTCCTCAGAGTTTCTGAACATTCTGATTGTGTGGCAAAATATGGGGGGAGGGGGGCACTGCACCTTCTACCACCTCAGTTCTTTCCACCAGTAACTCAGAGAGACCATAACAGGACTGAGATGGGGGAAGTGTGCAGGGGGAAAAACAAAACAGTTACTAACCTTATGCCCAAATAAATGTTAGTGTCTATGGTGCCACAAGTACTCCTTGTTTCCCCCCCCCCCCCCCTTCTGTAACTGTTATTCTTTTAGATGTGTTGCACATGTCCATTCCACTCTAGGGTGTGCGTGCCCCAAGCACAGTTGCTGGAAATTTTTCCCTCAATGGTACCCGTTGGGCAGTGTGCCTGTAGCACCAGTAGAGAGTGCCCAGCCCCTTCAGTTCCTTGTTTCCAAAGAACTCCGATGTAGAAGGGCAGGTTATGGAATGGACATGTGTGACATCTCCAAGAATACTTATGGAAGGCCACCCTGGGACTGCTGCTGGGAACAGTCAACCTGTGGCTGCTCAGGTGGTCCCCGGGCTAGCTGCATTGGCCACTGCTTAGGTAGTCCCTGGGGCTAGCTGCAGCAGCGCCTGGTGTGGCTGGCTGTGGGCACGCCAGAGTGGCTGGCCGCAGAGCCGTTCCAGCAGCAGCTGCTATGGCTGTCCCCAGGGCCAGCTGCTTGGGCAGCCCTGGGATCAGCTACACTGCAGAAGTCAACCGAGGTTGAAGGAAGTCACGGAAGCACAGAGCCCTAATGATTGTAAACTGCTCTGCCAAATATAGCATCCATTCTAGAAGCTAGATCTAGAGCACAATGTTTAGTGAGTGTGCGCACTTACTTTTAGGTTAGCAGCCTTGCAAATTTCCCTAATAGGAACCTGCTGAAGCCAAGCCAAAGATGCTGCTACAGCTCTAGACAAATAAGAGCATACCACACAAGGCACAGGAACTTCTGCTGGTCTCTAACACTGAAGGATGTACTGTATAACCCAGCTGGAAATAGTCTGAGCAGATGTACTATGACCCATATGATTATTAAACAAACCAAACTTCCTAAAACTCTTCATTCTATCCAAATAATATGCAAGACCTCTTCTGGCATTTAAAATATATAATGGAGATTCCCCCTTTATTAGCATAAACTGGAGAAGGGAAGACAAAAGTAAATCAATTGTCTGACATATGAAACTCGGACACTATTTTTGGTAAAAACCTGGGGATCAGATCCAAGAACCACCTTCTCTAAAAAATCTTAAGTGGCAGGGCAGCCAGCAGGGCACTCAATGCACTGACCCTTCCGGCTGTTACAGCAGTAACGAAGACCACTTTGATAAATAAAAACACTCCCTCAAGAAGTTCAAGGGTGATCTCATAAGCATAGATAAAGCCAGATTAAGATCTCAAGATGGAACGACACATTAGGTAACCCCTTCTTGAATCTTTTAGCAGAATTATGTACAATTGGTGATCTACTACTGACCAGAACGTAAGCTGAAATAGCCGTCAGGTGAACTTTTAAAGAATTAGACAACTACTCAGATTTAAGTTCAGTACATATTCCAGAATATAGGGTATGGAAGCTGCCTCTGGAGAATCAGATTTTCCTCATAGCCAAGCAAGAAATCTAGCCCATTTTCAGTAACACTTTCTAATACACGGTTTTCTAAAATTAAGCAGTATGCTCTGCATCAATGAGGAATGAAACTGCTCAAGATTAGTCAAAGTCTGATAGCCCAGGCTGTCAAATGAAGAAACTGAAGACCTGGATGAAGGATACTGCCTTGTTGCTGTGACAAGAGATCTGAAGACACAGGAAGACATGTACAATCTGATAGCCGAAGCAGGTCTATGTTCCCTTGCTGTCTCAGCTGAGCTAGGGCAATCAATCAATATCATTTTAGCCCTGTCCTGACAAACCTTTTTCCACCATTTCTGGATGTGTAGACCTGAGACTTCCAATGTTGCATCAGTCTCATTCTGAGAGAATCAAAGGGAGTTACGTAAGTGGTAGTCTGCCCATGAGACTCGGGATGACAATCACCTTCCGGGATTGGCAAATTCAAATTTGCAAAGCCACTTGCACTATTTTTAGAAACCTGTTCTTTGGATGAAAAGCCTTCCCTTCTATTGAGTCTGGTATGGAACCTATTAAAGGAGTTTGAGTTGGACAGAGATTCCATTTAATGCTTCGCTGGAGAACACTGGACTTCTAAGTAAAATCTGGAACCAATTTGTGTTTCAAAGTCAGATTCGAAGAGACTGTCAGAATCTGATGGATTAGCTAAGTCTAATGCATGGGATCTGGCACTGCCAACAGTGGCAGTCTTCAGACCTGACAACAAAACAAAAACAACTTTCAGAGTAACAGCCGTGTTAGTCTGTATTCGCAAAAAGAAAAGGAGTACTTGTGGCACCTTAGAGACTAACCAATTTATTTGAGCATAAGCTTTCGTGAGCTACAGCTCACTTCATCGGATGCATACTGTGGAAACTGCAGAAGACATATACACAGAGACCATGAAACAATACCTCCTCCCACCCCACTCTCCTGCTGGTAATAGCTTATTTAAAGTGATCACTCTCCTTACAATGTGTATGATAATCAAGTTGGGCCATTTCCAGCACAAATCCAGGTTCTCTCACCCTCTGCCCCCCCCCCACACAAACTCACTCTCCTGCTGGTAATAGTTCATCCAAAGTGACCACTCTCCCTACAATGTGCATGATAATCAAGGTGGGCCATTTGAACCAGAACGTCGGGGGGGGGGAGGTGCCACAAGTACTCCTTTTCTTTTTGCGAATACAGACTAACAGCTGTTACTCTGAAACCTGTCACTATGCAAGGCACTGCATTTAGCCGTATGGAGTGGAAATCTATCAACTGCATGAAAAAACTTGTACGGATACAGACAGACATCATCTTCCTTTCCAAATGCAAACAGATGGACATCGTACCAAAAGGACTGAAGGTAAAAAATCCATTACAATCTACATACCACACAGACTATGCTGACAGCTTGTGCCACATGCTCTCAAAGAAACTGTGGAATCACCTGATCAACATCCTCCACAACAAACAGGGAAAGATTAAGAATGAGCTCTCAGAACTGGATACTCTCATAAAAAACCAACCTTCCACACAAACTTCCTCGTGGCTGGAATTTACTAAAACTAGACAAGCCATTTACAACGCACACTTTGCTTCTCTACAAAAGAAAAAGGACACTAAACTTTCTAAACTACTACATGCTACAAGGGGCCACAACAATGGTTCCCTCAACCCACCCAGCAATATTGTTAACCTATCCAACTATACTCTCAGCCCAGCAGAAGAAGCTGTCCTATATCGGGGCCTCTCCTTCTGCCCCTCCACCCCCACGAGCATGATACAGTTCTGTGGTGACCTAGAATCCTATTTTCGACATCTCCGACTCAAGGAATATTTCCAAAATACCTCTGAACAACATACTAATCCACACAGGTCTCCCTACCAACATTACAAAAAGAAGGATTCTAGGTGGACTCCTCCTGAAGGTCGAAACAGCAGACTGGACTTCTACATAGAATGCTTCCGCCAACGTGCACGGGCTGAAATTGTGGAAAAGCAGCATCACTTGCCCCATAACCTCAGCCGTGCAGAACACAATGCCATCCACAGCCTCAGAAACAACTCTGACATCATAAGCAAAAAGGCTGACAAAGGAGGTGCTGTTGTCATCATGAATAGGTCGGAATATGAACAAGAGGCTCCTCAGCAGCTCTCCGACACCACTTTCTACAAGCCATTACCGTATGATCCCACTGAGAGTTACCAAAAGCAACTACAGCATTTGCTCAAGAAACTTCCTGAAAAAGCACAAGATCAAATCCGCACAGACACACCCCTGGAACCCCAACCTGGGATATTCTACCTACTACCTAAGATCCATAAATGTGGAAATCCTGGGCACCCCATCATCTCAGGCATTGGCACCCTGACAGCAGGATTGTCTGGCTATGTAGACTCCCTCCTCAGGCCCTACGCTACCAGCACTCCCAGCTACCTTTGAGACACCATTGACTTCCTGAGGAAACTACAATCCATCGGTGATCTTCCGGATAACACCATCCTGGCCACTATGGATGTAGAAGCACTCTACACCAACATTCCACACAAAGATGGATTACAAGCCGTCAAGAACACTATCCCCGATAATGTCACGGCTAACCTGGTGGCTGAACTTTGTGACTTTGTCCTTACCCACAACTATTTTACATTTGGGGACAATGTATACCTTCAGATCAGCGGCACTGCTATGGGTACCTGCATGGCCCCACAGCATGCCAACATTTTTATGGCTGATTTAGAACAATGCTTCCTCAGCTCTCGTCCCCTAATGCCCCTACTCTACTTGCGCTATATTGATGACATCTTCATCATCTGGACCCATGGAAAAGAAGCCCTTGAGGAATTCCACCAGGATTTCAACAATTTTCATCCCACCATCAACCTCAGCCTGGTCCAGTCCACACAAGAGATCCACTTCCTGGACACTACAGTGCTAATAAACAATGGCCACATAAACACCACCCTATACCGGAAACCTACTGACCGCTATTCCTACCTACATGCCTCCAGCTTTCACCCTGACCACACCACACGATCCATCGTCTACAGCCAAGCTCTGCGATACAACCGCATTTGCTCCAACCCCTCAGACAGAGACACACACCTACAAGATCTCTATCAAGCATTCTTACAACTACAATACCCACCTGTGGAAGTGAAGAAACAGATTGATAGAGGCAGAAGAGTTCCCAGAAGTCACCTACTACAGGACAGGCCTAACAAAGAAAATAACAGAACGCCACTAGCCGTCACCTTCAGCCCCCAACTAAAATCCCTCAAATGCATTATTAAGGATCTACAACCTATCCTGAAGGATGACCCAACACTCACAAATCTTGGGAGACAGGCCAGTCCTTGCCTACAGACAGCCCCCCAACCGAAGCAAATACTCACCAACAACCACATACCACACAACAGAACCACTAACCCAGGAACCTATCCTTGCAACAAAGCCCGTTGCCAACTGTGCCCACATATCTGTTCAGGGGACACCATCAGCCACACTATCAGAGGCTCGTTCACCTGCACATCCACCAATGTGATATCCACCAATGTGACATGTGCCAGCAATGCCCCTCTGCCATGTACATTGGTCAAACTGGACAGTCTCTACATAAAAGAATAAATGGACGCAAATCAGATGTCAAGAATTATAACATTCATAAACCATTCGGAGACCACTTAAATCTCTCTGGTCACGCAATTACAGACATAAAGGTCGCTATCTTAAAACAAAAAAACTTCAAATCCAGACTCCAGTGAGAAACTGCTGAATTGGAATTCATTTGCAAATTGGATACTATTAATTTAGGCTTAAATAGAGACTGGGAGTGGCTAAGTCATTATGTAAGGTAGCTTATTTCCCCTTGTTTTTTCCTCCTCCCCCCAGACATTCTAGTTAAACTTGGATTTGTGCTGGAAATGGCCCACCTTGATTATCGTGCACATTGTGGGGAGAGTGGTCACTTTAGATAAGCTATTACCAGCAGGAGAGTGGAGTGGGAGGAGGTATTGTTTCATGGTCTCTGTGTATATAATGTCTTCTGCAGTTTCCATAGTATGCATCCGATGAAGTGAGCTGTAGCTCACGAAAGCTTATGCTCAAATAAATTGGTTAGTCTCTAGGGTGCCACAAGTACTCCTTTTCTAAAAGCAACTTTGTTTCCTAGCAGGCAGTCAGCCCTCTTCTATCAACAGTGCAGGGGGGAGGAGGGGAGGAGAGAAGGGAAGGGGCATGTGGGCAGCTCGGAACCACCAATGGTGCTGTGGGAGTGGCCCGGCGGGGCGAGGTGGGGGGTTTGGTGCCATCAGCAGGCTCCCTACCTGGCTCCACATCACCTTCCCCAAGGAGCAGCAGAGTTTGGGTGTGGGAGTGAGCAGAATGGGGTGAGGCGGGCTCTGGATGGCACTTACATGGGGGGCTCCCTGGAAGTGGCGACATCCCCCCCTCACCCAACCGCTAGGAAGAAGCAGGGCCAGGCAGTGCTGTGTGCTGCCTCCCCAGCTCCTGGCCAATGGGAGCTGCGAAGCCAGCGCTCTGGGCGGAGACAGCACACAGAGCTGCCTGGCCATGTCTCCGCCTGGCAGCTGAGCAAGGGGGAGGTCGATCATTCTTTAAATTCAATTTTCCAAGTCTGGCATGATTTCAGCCTGAAGTAATTTGATTCCCAATCTTCCACGTGGCAGAAAATGGTACTACTCACTAAAGCCATCACCTCAACACCACAGTATTGCGAGTTCTGAAGTAAACTCAAGAACGAAGAGTTTTCATTCTAAAGTTCCAATTAATAAAATTAAAGGATTATCCAAATGATTAGTGAAGACCTGGTTTTATGGGAAGTATGAGTGAAGGTGGATGAATAAGGGTGTTATGCTGGGAAAGTTGTTTTGATCTGTGTATGGGTTAAACTTTAACCATGGGGCCACGTAATCCCCTATCTATGCAGCCTCCCTCATACAACCAATAAATTGTTGCGTTCAGATTAGCTTTAGAGAAAGAGTGGTGATTGGTTGAGGGATAATGATATCACAATGGTCTAGGACTCTTGGAATGGCAGATACATCTTTGACTAACTGAAAGCCCATGCTGTCACATGGGTGTAATCTGTAAAGGAAAAATGGCTCAGAACTTAAATATTGGATGTTAAACTGCAAAATCCATTGATACTGAATCTGGTGATATTCTAAACAAAAAGAGCTTCAGCCATGCTTGTAATTGTTTCCATAGTTTCACACTCATTCAGACAATCTAGGTTTTAGAGTGACAATCCTGAATTTTATTATATAGATTACACATTGATTTTAAACATATTACATTGTACTTACCAAGCAATGCTGTGGTTTCACCTGCATCCTCTTTTAAACTGTTACACTGTAGCACAGATTCATTAGTTGAGGAGGCTGACAAATCGCTTACTTCGTTTCTATCATCTTCTTGTAAAGCAATACTCAAACTTCCTACTGATACACTGCCACTTATTGATTCAGGTATTGGAACTTCAAGTGCCTCTTCAGGGTCACCCTTCAGAAGTAGACAAAATATTCAGTAAACAATTATTTAGACATCAGAAAAACAAGTTTGTAAGGACTCTACAAAAGCAAAAAAAACACACCTCTTTGATTAACCTTTACATATTGAATTCATTGAAGGAAAGCTATTTGCCCTTCCTAATACAGTAACTCCTCACTTAAAGTTGTCCCGGTTAACGTTGTTTTGTTGCTGATCTATTAGAGAACATGCTCCTTTAAAGTTACACAGTGCTCAGGGTATCCCCCTCCCTCGGCCCCCGACTTACCCCATCTCCACAGAGCAAGGGGGACACAAAACAGGGCTCAGGACGGAGGGAGCTTGCTGGTAGCAGCTGCTGTCTCAACTTGCTGATCTACTTAAAAAGGCAATGTACTTAGAGTGGAGTCAGCATACTTAAAGGGGCAATGATCATCTCTCTCTGTACCACTCCTCTAGAGATCTCAATACATAGGGGCACTTACCTCAGAATAAGGTGGTGTGTTTAGAATCATGTTTGGGATCTTTCCACCCTCTGACTTCACCACCTCAACCAAGCTTCACAATCATCACTGCTGTGTACAGTATTAAATTGTTTGTTAAAAAATTATACTGTGTGTATGTATATACACAAATATAGTCTTGCCTGGTAAAAAAATTTCCCTGGAACTTGCCCCCCCCCACCGTTTACATTAATTCTTATGGGGAAATTGGATTAGTTTACCACTGCTTTGCTTAAAGTCATATTTTTCAGGAACATAATACACACACAAGGGGGAGGTGAAATAAGGTTGCACGAGTCCCCTTAATTCTGGTATTTCCTAACTTTCCAAGTATCAAATTAAAAACTAAAGCTACATTTTTCAATGTAAGTGAACAAAACACATTGAGAGTTGTTTGGGCCCCCCAATATTTGTGTACTGCTAGTTTCCAGAATCAGTAATTCATAATGGGTGACTCAGTCAATAGTGTAAGTTAGCAAGACTCTACTACATCAGAAAGGTTTTTAACTTGTCAATTGGGGTTCCTTTTTATCAAGTGAATTTAGGGCTGGAACAGCCACCTTGGGGACCAAAGTCCTTCATTTACAAAACAGGCACACAACAACAGGCAAAGGAAGTTAAAGTTCCTCCAAGCTATTCTAGAAGTATCAAGTTTTTAGATTTATGAGAAGTTCAGTTCTCTCTAGTTAATTCAATCTCTGCAGAAGATACAACACATTGAAATGGTGATTTCTGTAATGAGAATGCTCATCTACTTAAAATGGACTGATCACCACATAGGCAACCATTTAGAGTCAGATTGTAACTTTCCATATTATCAACTTGAGTGGGGTTTGAACTTGTGATGTGTAACTAGCTATCCATTATGAATACCTTAATGAACCAGGGTTTGCAACTGACGCGTTTCCTACATTCACCTTTGTCAAGCAAAGAAGAGACATGTCTGATCAATAGGAGAGAAATTATATGTTGGGCTGGTCATGGGTAGAGTATCAACGTCCATCCCAAAAATCTGAACTCAGGTACGCTAATAATCACAAAAACCCATTATTTTTTTGCTAATTTCTGTCATTAAGTAGAATTATAGGCTTCAACTATATGGATGATATAAAAACAAGACTAATAACCTAATGTAGCTTCCAGACCAGTCTCCACAACAATGGAATCTTCAGGCCATATGGTACAACCATTGCCTCATTTTGCATAATGAAATCATGTAGACAAGCAGATCTAGGGTTCTACTGCTTTTCTTAGAACTCTGACAAGACATAAGTAGTGCATCAGATGAAGTCACAGGCCTTATATAAGTATATTGTAAAGTCTCCAACCATTCCAAACAGTATTCTTTTGTTTATAAGAAAAGCTAGTCAGAAAAATGCAGGCATTTTATGAAAAGATCCCAGACACCATTCTAAAACACACCACTTTATTCTGATGGTAGGTGCCCCTATGTACTGAGATCTCTAGAGGATACCACATGTATCTTCATCTCTTTGCTGGCCCTGTCAGAAAGAAATGAAAGCACATCATTTCTACTAGTTAAGCCAACTACTGCTAAAGTTTTTCAGGAAGGTTTTAGTGAACACTTATTCAGTTATAGAGACCAAATGCTTACTCAGCATATCTGGGAGCATACAGACACAGTTAACTAATTTGTCCGGCTACTTGAAAAGGTTTCAAGGACTCAAAAAGCAAAAGGGCCCTTGAGGTCTCTGTAAGCTGAAGCATGAAACTGGTTTCTACAACTGTGCAGCTGTAGGCAAGTCACTTCACTTCTCTTCCTCAGTTTCCTCCCCCTCTGTAAAATGGGGATAAAAGCAGTTACTTACCTTTCGGTAACTGTTGTTCAAGATGTGTTGCATATGTCTGTTACACTGCTGGCGTCCCATGCACCCAGGTCTGAGTTTTCCCTAGAAGTACCTATGGGGTGGCACTGCCCACATCAAAACTCTTTATGATCTGAAGTGAGGCTACAAGAGTGAAGCCACCCTGTCACCTTCAGTTCCTTCACAATGGAAGCTGATGGCAGACTCCGATGTACTGGGGAAGGAGGTGGTGGGCCGTGTAATGGACAAATGCAACATCTCAAAATGAAGAAAAAATAATTACTTTTTTTGAACTGTAAGTGCTTGGATATGTCCATTACACTGTAGGTAATTCCGAACCTGTTATCCCAGGCAGTGGGGCTCAGTCTCATCAGAAGGGAGAACTATATGACCACTTTTCCCACATTTGCATCCTCCCTTGAAGCAGCTGATTGTGCACAATGCTTGGGGAACGTATGAAGCGAAGGTCATGTTGCCACTCTATAAATGTTAGTAATCGGCATGTGCTACAAAGGCTGTGGAGATCAAATGTGCTCTGGTCATGTGTCCTGTCAACTTTTCAGGAGGCATTACCGCTTTGACAGCATAACACTGCAATGCAACTAAGAACTAAATTTGAAATAAAATAAAAGAAATAAAATGGAAAATTAAACATCATGGGATAAAAAAAGAAAAAAGTACCATTAGATCAAAACAAAGCACTGAAGATTTTTTGTTCACAGGGCACACAAAACACTGACAGTAAGAAGGAACCGAAGGGTAGGGGTGGCTCCACCCTTTATACCCTCACAGCGCTCAGATGTAGACAGGGCTATCCTTGCGGGTACCTCCAGGGAAAACTCTCCGGCACTGGTGCATCCCGCCCCCCAGCGTAAAGGACATATACAAACACTCAAAGAATGAAACTTTTCCTACCTCAGAAAGGTATTACAAGATAGTTAATTAGCACTTTGTCAAGTGTAATATTAAGGATGAGTATTATAAATCATTACAGATTACTCTTGTTTGGATTCTTGTACCACAGCCATCACTGTGGTATCTATATATACACACATAGAGGAGATAATCTGGAGAAACAACTGCTCTGAATTTTTAAACAGGTTGATGTGCAGTCTTGCTTCCTGTTTTGAACGTCTGCAGTGCAGTTTTAACTCAATAAATATGTAACTCACCCAGTATCCCAGAGCTTTGATGACATCTAGTTTGCACATTGGACAAGTTCTGTGGTCCAACAGCCAGGGGTCAATGCAGGTCCTATGAAAGATATGCCTGACAAAAAAAACAAAGTACACTTGGTTTTAATTTTTTTAAACTATGATTTATTCTTTCAGAAAGCCTATTAATTTTCTAGTATATCCATCTTGAGGTTATTAGATACATTCATGGGTGAACCTTTTTAATCTTAGTAGTCATTCAATATATTAACCTATCTGTCAAAGTTGGAAGGCAATGGACAAGTATACTGACAGAATACATTGATAGTGCTTTTCTTTAATCACTTAGGAGTCTGGACTGATTCTTTAAAAAGGAGAAAGTCAGATTTAAAGGTTACTATATATAAAAAACAGTACTAGCCAGACAATACAGAAAAAACGGTTACTCACCTTGTCGTAACTGTTGTTCACGTCCATTCCAATCAGGTGTGTGCATACCCAACAACCAGAAGATTTTTCCCTTAGCAGCGTCTATAGGGTCTGCCTGGGTGCCCCCTGGAGTCGCATCTTCCATATAGCACCCTGCCAACCCCCAACCCCTTCAGTTCCTTCTCACCTGCTGCTCTGACAGAAGGGTAGGAGGGTGAGTATTGGAATGGACATGCGCAACATCTCGAAGAACAACAGTTACGAGAAGAAGAAAAAACAGTTACTCACACAGTGCTGGTTCGTGTCCATTCCAATTAGGTGACTCACAAGCCAAAGTTCAGGAGGTGGGGTTGGAGTCATCTACTGACTGGAGCATGGCTCATCCGAAGACTGCATCGTCTCTGGCCTGTTGTGTGATTGCATAGTGCGTATTGAGGACCACGCTGCTGGTCTGTGGATTTCCTGTGTGGCAACCTGTGCCAGGAATGCTGCTGAGGAGGCCTGAACTCTGGTGGAGCGTGCAGTGATCGGCGGAGCAGGCACCTTCGCCAAGTCGCAACACTCCCAAATGCATGACATGATCCACGATGAGATGCGCTGTGATGAGACGGGGAGGCCTTTCATCCTGTCTGCCACCTCTACGAATAACTAGACGGACTTTTGGAATGGCTTAGTTCTCTCTATGTAGAAGGCCAGTGCTCTGTGGACATCCAATGAGTGAAGGCTCTGTTCCCTGCCGCAGGAATGTGGCTTAGGATAGAACACTGGGAGGAAGACGTTCTGGTTGATGTGAAACTGGGAGACAACCTTAGGGAGAAAAGCCCAGTGAGACCTGAGCTGAACCTTGTCCTTATGGAACATTGTGTAAGGGGGCTCTGATGTAAGGACACTGAGCTCCGACACTCTCCTAGCTGAGGTTATCGCCACCAGAAATGCCACCTTGTATGAGAGGTAAAGCAAGGAACACGTCGCCAGTGGCTCAAATGGTGGACCCGTAAGTCTGTAAAGGACCAGATTAAGGTCCCAAGATGGGATAGGCTGGGCTGTTGTGTTTGCAGGTAGAGTCTATCGAGACCTTTAAGGAAACTGCTGACCATAGAGTTCGCGAAGACTGAGTGGCTGTCTGCGCCCGCATGGAAGGCAGAGATGGCAGCCAAGTGGACCCTTCTTGACGACAGACAGAGCCTGTTGCTTAAGATGGAGGAGGTAGTCCAGTACAAGTGGCACAGAGGCGAGTGTCAGCGACTGATGGTTCTCCTCTGACCAGACAGAGAACCTCTTCCACTTAGCAAGGTACGTTACCCTTGTGGAGGGCTTTCTACTTGTCTGACTTGATCAGAACAGGACAGCTCCACGGCCTTTAGCCATGGAACATCCATGCTGTGAGGTGGAGCGACTTGAGGTTTGGGTGCCGGAGGCAGCCATGACCCTGCGTGATTAGGTCCAGGACAAATGGTAGGGTGACCAGAGTCACCATGGACATTTCCAGGAGGAATGTGAACCAGTGCTGGCATGCCCAGGCCAGAGCTATCAATATCACTAGGGCTTGGTCCCTGTGGATCTTGAGGAGCACCTTGTGGACTAACAGAACTGGTTGGGAACGCGTAAAGGGGACGGCCTCCCCATGGAAGGAAGGCAGGCATCCGCAACAGAACCTGGGCTGTGATTCAGGAGCAAAATAGCTGATACCTGTTTGCCACGCAGAGCGACAGGAAGTCTATTTGGGGAAAGCCCTAGTGATGGAAAATTGAGCTCACTACGTCAGGCCGGAGGGACCACTCGTGGCCATGAAAAAAGTTGGCTGAGACTGTTCGCCAGCTCGTTCTGGATCCCAGGGAGGTATGATGCCTGCAGCGTATAGAGTGCTCTACATAGAAGTCCCACAGCATGAGGGCTTCCTGGCACAGAGGAGAGGAGAGTGCACCCCGTTTGTTGATATAAAATATCGCCGTGGTGTTGTCCATAAGGACAGATACACATCTGCCTGATATGTGGGCTCTGAAATCCTGGCACATTAGGCGCACTGCTTTCAGTTCTCTGACATTGACATGCTGAGCTAGGTCTGCCTGAGACCAGAGACCTTGGGTCCTGAGGTCTCCCAAATGTGTCCCCCATTCCAGATCCAAGGCATCTGTCACTAATGAGAGGGATGGCTGGGGGCTGGCAAAGGGAACTCCTGCACAAACTACCTGTTTTCAAGCCAACACAGAGGGAGTCTAATATTGGGCGAGGTAGGGTTACAATGCTGTCCAAAGCGTCTCGAGCCGGTCAATAAACCGACGCTAGCCATGACTGGAGCAGGCGAAGTCTGTGTCTGGCATGCTGTACTAAGTACGTACAAGCAGCCCTATGCCCCAGCAGTTTCAGGCAGCTCCCTTCTATGGTCATGGGGAATTGTCTGAAGCCCTTTATGATGTCGCCCAGAGACCGAAATCTGGCTTCTAGGAGGTATGCCCTGGCTTTGGTCGAGTCTAGCACTGTGCGGATTTGGCCTCATTGAGAAGGAGACCTAGTTCAATGAAGGTCCTTCTTATGAAGCTGACCTGCTCCTCCACTTGAGATCTGGAGTGGCCCCTGATGAGCCGGTTGTCAAGGTATGGGAAAACCTGCATCTGCTGCTTGCGTAGGAATGCTGTGATGACTGCCATGCACTTGGTGAAAACTCGAGATGCTGCTGACAGGCCAAAAGGAAGTAAACTGATAGTGGCTGTTGTTCACCACAAACCCGAGGTATTGTCTGTGAGGTGGAATTACTGCTATGTGAAAATATGCATCCTTCAAGTCAAGGGCAGCGTACCAGTCTCCTGGAGCCAATGAGGGGATAATGGAAGTCAAGGAGACCATGCGGAACCTGAGTTTCTTGACAAACTTGTTGTGCTCCCGCAGGTCCAGGATGGGTCTGTGGCCACCCTTGGCTTTCGGTATTAGGAAATACTGGGAGTAGAAGCCCTTGCCCCTTTGTTCCTGAGGAACCTCTTCCACTGTCCCTACTGAGAGGAGGGAGTGCACTTCCTGTATTAGAAACTGCTCGTGAGAGGGGTCCCTGAAGAGGGACGGGGATAGGGGGTGGAAGGGCAGAAGGGCACAGAATTGGATGGAATATCCCCTCTCTACCGTGAGGTGCACACAGTGGTCTGTGGTGATACTGGACCAAGCACAGTAGAAAGGGGATAGACAGGATGAAAAGGTAAGAGGGGATGGATCCAGTTGTGGTACTGGTGTGCCATGCTTAACTGCACCTTCAAAAGGGGGGGTCTGGGGCCGGGAGGAGGCTTGGGCTGGCCTGAGCTCTGCCCCAAGAAGGGGTGCTGCCTCCTCCTACCACTCCTATTCCTCCTACGAGGAGCATCCTGGCGGTTGTGGGGTTGGTAGAACCTGGAAGGAGGCTGTGGCTGGAAATGCCTATGCTGGGTAAAGGAGCCCCAAAGATCTTAGTGTGGCCCTTCAGACTATGGAGTCTTATCCATTTTGTTGAAAAAGAGGGCTGAACCCTCAAAGGGGTGGTTCTGGATTGTTTGCTGGACTTCATGAGGCAGACCAAAGACCTGCAACCAGGAGCCCCTTCTCATTACAACCCCCGTAGCCACTGGATGCAGCAGATGCAGCCTCACGTACAATACCACTTGTAGGGACGCTCCGGAGACCAGCCTTCCCCCCTCCACTAATGCAGAGAACTCAGCGCGAGAGTCCTGCGGCAGGAGCTCCACTAACTTGGCCATCACAGCGCAGGTTTGTGTGTATCCACTCACGATGGCCTGTTGGTTTGCGATGCGGAACTGTAGTCCCCCTGTAGAATAGACCTTCCTGCCGAAAAGCTTGAGTCTTTTTGCCTCCCTGTTTTTAGGGGAGGGGCCCTGGAAGCTCTGGCGCTCCTGCTGATTGGCCGCATGAACCACCAGTGAGTTGGGGGGGCGGGTAGGTATATAAATGTTCATATCCCTTAGAAGGGACAAAGTACCGCCTTTCATTTCTCTTGGCCGTAGGGGCCAGAAAAGCAGAGGTCTGTCATGGGATTTTGGTAGTCTCAACTATCGTCTTAATAAAGGTAAGGCGATCTGTGAGGGACCAGAGGGTGCAAGGATGTCAACAACTGGGTCCGATTCCTTCACCACCTCCTCTGCCTGTATGCCCAGGTGCTGGGCAGCACAGCGTAAGAACTGCTGGAGTGCTCTGTTATCCTCCAGAGCTGGGGCCGTCAACATCCCCGCAACCGCTTCATCTGGTGAGGATGAGGAGAGACCTGGCAGCGGACCTTGCTCACTGCCTTCGGTGCCCCATGGGTCTTGCGGCATGCGGTATTCAAGTCTGCGGTGCCCGGCCCGCCAGAGACGGAAATATTGGTGCCAAGGTAGATGCTGAAGCTACTGGTTCCGGCGGTGCGGATCTCGTCAATGCCAATGGAGTCAAAGTCGAAGCCGTCGGTGGTGCCGCTGATGGGAGGGTTGGTGCCAGAGCTGTAGCAGTGCTGGCGCTTCTGTCGGCGGTGGGATGGGGTGGAGGAGGGCGCGAAGGACACTGAGGACACCAACGCCGACCTGGACCGTGGACCCTGCACCTGGTGATATGCCCAGGGTGTCCAAAAGGGCCACTGTGACTAAGGCTGCCCCTACGGAGGCCACGGTGCTGGGTAGGGCTGGTGGTCGCAGCAGGATCTGGACCTCCTGGTCCTCTCGGAGCAATAGGAGTCCACCTCTGACTCCGAGGTCTCTGAGTAGGATGACCAAGGAAGAGTGGTGCCCTGGGCTGCCGGAGAGCGGTGCCGAGAGGCCGGGGATCAGTGCGGCTCCCCTGCATGTGCAGGCTGTGCCTGGGAGAGGTGCGCCATAGATGGGGATTGGCACGCCATCAGCGCTGGTTTGCCCCTCGACTGAAAGTGGGACCATGCAGTCACCGGCAACTTGTCTCTCCTCTGCGGGGGGGGGCATCACAGTGAGGCGCATAAGGTCCTGAGCCGCCTCAAATGCTTCTGGCGTAGAGGGAAGCTGGAGGTGGTCACCTTGAAGGTCCGGGAACCGTGGGGGGTTTGGACTCAAGTAAACCCCAGCTGCGCTGGGAGTCAGTGAAACCTTAAAGGGTTGGAGGGACAAGGTAGCCTGGCTCAAAGTGCTCGTCGATGCCACAGGTCCCTTGGACTTTACAGGGGGAGACCAACCCCTCTCTGGCCTTCTCTTCTTTTGTGGCACCGGAGACAGAGCAGTGCTGCACCAAAGATGGCTGTTTATGGGCGGAGTCATGGCCGTGCTGTGAGGCTTTAGGGTCATTGTTTGGTGCTGGCTCACGCTCCGTTGGTGCCAGAGCACTGCGGACCGACGAAGTACTTGGCGCGGGTTCTGCAGACCCGGGGTTGGAATGTGGCCAGAGTGCTGCTTCCATCAGCAGGATCTTAAGTCTCTGCTCCTGGTCTTTAAGGGTCCAAGGTCGAAAACCCTTGCAGATCCTGCACTTGTCCTTTTGGTGGCTCTCCCCGAGGCACCGTAGACAAGAAGAGTGTGGGTCACTCTTGGGCATAAACTTGCCACAGTCCTCACAGAGTTTGAACCCTGGGGACCTGGGTATACCCCCAGAGTTGGGGAAGACTTCGTTGGGGGGAAACCCCCCCCAAAGTCTACTACTACTACTACAAGAAATAACTATTTAACTCCCGTTTACACTATTGTACAACTAACTAAAGAGGACACTGCCAAAGCGCTTGCAAGCAAGAGCAAGAAATATTCCAGCTAGCGGTCACTGCCAGTAAGAAGGAACTGAAGGGGTGGGAGGTTAGCAGGGCACTCTACGGGGAACCATGAAGGCGTAACTCCAAGGGGCGCCCAGGCCAACTCTATGGACACTGCTAAGGAAAAAATCTTCTGGCTGGAGCGCATGCACACACCTGATTGGAATGGACATGAACAAGCACTCGAATAATAATATAACTACTCAAATATTTGGTAATACATAGCAACAACTACGCACAAAGCTTAATAAGAACAGTTAAAGATGAGATCTAAAGTACAATACTTGACCATGAAGAGCAAGTAGCCCTTGATTGGTAAAACCACCAAGACATCTGATTACAGACATTTTTAGAGAAATGACCATTTCAGGACTGATCAAAACATTAATACAAATAAGGAATCAATATTTTTATATTTCAAACACACTAAAACCCAAAAAGTGGAAACAGTTTACAAATTCTCTTTTTTACTGAGAATTTTTCAAGATCATGTCTCATATTTCTAATTATACATCTAATTTTCTTTAACTAAAGAGAAATGTTTCTCACAACAAAAAATGTTCCCACAGAACTAGTAGTAGTCACATATATACATCATACATAAGGTAATATTTTAATTAACAAGTTTATAACATTTGAGAGGCTGAACTCCCCACCACATTTATGAAATACCATCTCCTCATGCCCTGCACATGTTACTGGACAAACAGATAGCACAACTTCAGTGCATTGTATAGCTTCATGACCCCAAAACTCCAGAAATGGTTTACGTTTCTAGGAACCTCATTAAATATTTCTTATGGAAAGTATGGTAAAAATAGATTTTAAAAGGCAATCAAACTTACTTGCATGGCAGAATTCGGACAATATCTTTCGGTTTGTAGTTTTCAATGCACACAGCACAATTTTCTGCATCAACATCTAAACCCTACAGAAAACACATTTAAATGGACAGGTAGACCAGGACATTAAAAAGATCATGAATATAACAAGCATTGAGTCATACAGTATAATCATTTGAACAGAAAGCTTTAAAATGTCATAAATAAGAAGCAGTTCTCTTATTTAATTCAATTAGAAATACTCTACCAAAAGGTGGAGAAATACTCTACCAAAAGGTCCTTTGATATAATCAAAGTAACTGATCGTGGCTAAACCTAGACATATCACATGTTAATCCAAGCACTTTTTGGGTGACTTACTTCTCTGAACACTGGTGTTTTTAATGGGGTGCAATCAAGCATTTTAGTAAGCTAAAAATTATAATAAAGGTAACCATCTCCAGATGTATGAAATTTCACATGGTAAGTATGAAAGATATGGCAACAGACAACTCATTTAAACTCCCAATCTACAGTCTCAAGAGCTAATGAGCATTCAACATACTCTTATAGAGTTGAATGGTACCTCATCCTGCTTCTTCAGCCTTCTCCTCCCACAGTGCCCTGGTAAACAGGCTTGCACAGGAAATCTAAGAACGACTAGAGAGGAAAGAATCCGCCCTCATACTCCAAATGAAGCAGCTTAACAAGATTCTTAAAACCGCTCTCTCTAACCTCTCGCTCATTCAATCCTAAGAAAAGAGTATACTGAATGCTCATGGGCCTGAAGATGTCACATGGACACAGTAGTGTGCTGACTGGGCTGTAGGTTGAGAACCACCGCACTGTAGTCAGAGTACAGTGTGCAATTACTCATGCCATTAACACTTTTTGGGAGAGTCCTCCATGTTCTGCCCCTTTTGGAGTTACAGTTGCAATATAAATGTGAAGGAAAACTTAAGTATGAAGATATTTTGTATACCATGTAATCAATTTTAACTGAGTTGTATACAAAAACAAATATGAAGGATATCCAAATTGGGTCCTAGCATAAAAATACAATGCAAGTCTTTCATATCTGCAGGTTACTAAAAAGTATGGGTGTCCATTACCAACTCTTGTAAGCATTTGCAGTAATGTGAGTAAGATTGGATGATCAGGCCCATAATTTCTATTTTACACACTGTATGTAACAGTCATTTTAAATAAAAAGTTACTTGTAACATTTCTGTATTAGTTGCTAGTCTGTACGTTTAAAGTTAAATTGATAAAATACATTTACTACTGCAGATATTTTTCACTGAATGCAGGGGCAGATGCCAACCATGGCATATTTGATTATGTGCTACATAAGTGTCCATTTCACAATAATCCTCCAAACTGCTCAGAAAAGATCCACACAACTGTAAACATGCTTAAGGCTGACATGTTTTTAAAGTGCTTCAACTTTGAATGTTGCTATACTATAAACACAAAAAGTCCTATATTATTTGTTACAATTGTGATGGATGAAGGGGGGGGGCGGGAGAGAGAAAGAGCTCCCTTTTGTGGGCTCCCAGCCAACTAGTTGGCTGTGGAGTCCCTCTTGGTGGCTGTTCTCTGCTTGCTTTATCTGTAAAGGGTTAATAAAGTCCCCCAGGTAAAGGAAAGGGAGTGGGCACCTGACCAAAAGAGCCAATGGGAAGGCTAGAAATTTTTAAAATGGGGAAAAAACTTCCATTTCTCTCTGTTGTGGTTCTCCAGGAAAGAGGGGAACAGGGAGCAGTTACCCTATGAGAAGCTTTAACCCAGGCATGATCATCAGATCATACCTAGAGCTACTTATTTGGAACCCCCAAATGTGTAAGTAGATCAGAAATGTTTAGAAAGACGTGATTAGCTTTATTTCTGTTTACTTCTTATGGCTAGTGAACTCCTCTGTGCTAACCCCAGATGCTTTTGTCTGCTTGCAACCTTTAATCTGAACCCCAAGAAAGCTAGTTTGGGGGCTTAATTTTTGCAATTGCTCTTTTAAATCTAGCAAAAGCCTAAGTTCCAGATGTATTTTCTTTTTTATTTTTAATAAAATTTACTTTTTTTTTCTTTATAAAAGAACAGGATTGGATTTTTGGTGTCCTAAGAGGTTTGTGCATATGTTTAATTAGCTGATAGCAACAGCTAATTTTCTTTGTTTTCTCTCTCAGCTCTTCCCCGGAAGAGTGGGTGAAAGGGCTTGAGGGTACCTCACAGGAAGGAAGTCCTAAGTGCGCCTTCCTAGGTTCCAAAAAGGGGTTTTGCATTTGGATGGTGGCAGCGTTTACCAAGCCAAGATCAGAAAAAAGCTGTATCCTTGGGAGTTTAATAAAAGCCTGGAGCGGCAAGTATTAATTTTTAAAAATCCTTGCGGGCCCCCACCTTCTGCACTTGAAGTGCCAGAGTGGGGAATCAGCCTTAACAATAAAGAAGAGAAGAGAAACTGTTGTGATTGTGATGACTGGACCAAAGGAAAACAAAATATACATCTGTCCAGACAATGTAAGATACTACTTCTAGATAAACTCATTTCACAGAAGTACACCTGCTCCAGTAAGTTATATTAAATTTAACCGGTCTTTGCAAATCTACCTATAGCCTCACAAAGTAAGCCCACATGAGATGTAGAGAAAGTCCAGAAGTGAAGACCTATCAAGCTTTGTTAATATATACATTTTAAATAAGCTATTTCTTTGTCCATGAAGTAATGATTAGAAATATTTAAAAATCTTTGGGAATGAGACATTCTTTAAAGGATTAATCACAATTTGTATGTATTTCTTCCTATTCTAGAATCATAAAAAGAAAAACAGTACCAAGACTAACAGATTTGTAATATATGGAATTGTGTAATCAACAGATCATGGGAAATATTGCACAATTCAACTGTAATGTTGATATCTGGCACTAGCCAAGATCCTATGCTGGTAAATATATCTTTGTTAGATGTTAAATACCAGCCTTCATGCTTCTAGACAGAGAAATACAGGTTAACAACAAACAAGAGGAGACAGTCATGCACTAATTTATAGACAGCCCAACAGGAGTTAGTCATTTTTATTTTTAAAACCATAAATAAAATGAAGACAGCTTGCAAAGACCATTCTGACCAAACAAAACAATTTAAAGTTACTAAGTTACCTTGTCTCCATGCTTCACAGTATGCAACTGAAGCTGGTTGATCACTTTCTTGGTTTCTTTTCTGTGGCCCTTAAAGTGGTAAGAGAATGTTTAAAATAATGTTACACAAGTTCAGTTTGGTACTCTTTCACTTTTAACTAAATTATGAAAAACCTTCAATACTAGCGTGTTCTGTATAGTTTACAAAGCCTTCAAATACATTGAGGAAATTCCCACCTTTTGTCACTGCAGTAGGTTTATAAAGCCTTACACCCACCAATGCACATTAAGGAGGAGTGAGTTCCACACTGTATGGGGGCACTACAGCAAATACACACAGTGATGAGATGCATAAGAGCTGGGTATTGTCAGAGTGCAGATAAAAGTGGGGACAAGGACAAACAATCAATTCATCACTTTATAGGCAACCAGTGTAGAGAGGAAGAAGGGGAGACATAACAGGACCACAGTTAATCCAATGACCAAATATACTGGTAGTGCATAATGGGTAGTTAAAAAGGAATGTCAAGACACAGCGGGGTATCTTCCTTGTTATCTTGCCACAGACAATGATCAGAGAATGTATTTCATTTAACCTGAGAAGATGTTTAAAAAAATCATATCAATTGCATAATTCTCCAAATCAATTTAACCTGCTACATACTCCCTGTAAAGTTACAACTACGTGTAAGAGGAAGACATGGGGAGGGAGGAGCAGTCACACCTTAAATAGCCCCTCTTGATATAGAACTAGGATTAAAATAAAGATACTTTTTCCAGATGACAGGTTTCAGGGTAGCAGCCGTGTTAGTCTGTATCCGCAAAAGGAAAAGGAGGACTTGTGGCACCTTAGAGACTAACAAATTTATTTGAGCATAAGCTTTCGTGAGCTACAGCTCACTTCATCAGATGCATTCAGTGGAAAATACAATGGGGAGATTTATATACACAGAGAACATGAAACAATGGGTGTTACCATATGGATTATAGATTACAGAAAAATGTTATTCTGCTCAGTCTGGGTCTCAAATTTTCTTTTCCACTGCAAATGCAAACATATGCCCCTTATTGTAATGTGAATGGCATGCGGAGAGGACTTCAATTTAAGAGGACACTGTTTAGTTAAATGTTCATTAAAGTAAAAAATTCTTAAGGGTGATCTAAATCCTGTATTTGGATCCATGCAAGTGAAGCTTCATGCCTATTCAGAAATCCAGTGGAGTTCCACATGGACCCAAATCCACCATCAGGGCATAAGATACCAACACCACTTCACATGTGTCTTCTTCCCCGCCTCCCCTGCCCCCCCCCCCCCAAAAAACCCACTGAACTTAATATTCACCATTTACACAATCTACTTTTTGCACAATACTAATTTTAAACAACGAAGTCAATATAACTTTTTATATACTTTTTCTAATAAATTTTATCAGATTTTGCCACTGAATAGTAACAGTGCTTCCAACTGCAAAGGTTCTCTCTTTTTTTTTTTAAACTCTACCAATCAAATTAGGGTTTCCAAAAGACTGCCTGTAATAGTCTCTTCTCAGTTTTAGAGCCTGATCCTATAACCCTTAAACAAGTAGTCCTACTTGAGAGGATAGGACAACTTGTATGACTGAAGACTACGTAAAGTAAAAAGAAAGCAGTGAGCTGTAGTTCACGAAAGCTTATGCTCAAATAAATTTGTTAGTCTCTAAAGTGCCACAAGTCCTCCTTTTCTTTTTGCGAATACAGACTAACACGGCTGCTACTCTGAATCCATAAGTAAAGTTTGTAGGATCACATTCTTAGGCATATATTCATCACCTTGGAGCACCTCATTACATATGTTTAAAAATATCTTTCCATAATCTATCCAACTATTATGTTCTAGCTTTATGAAACAGGTTAAGCACAGGATTTGTCAACTATTAGCAATTTGCACATACTGATATGAAAGTATTTCCCACACCACCACCAGATTTAATTTGGACTGGAAATATGAAGTTCCAGGAAAAATTTTTATTGCTAACACCTAATCCTTACACAGGGCTTAATTTTCAATGCATTGTACAAAAATCTCTGCTTTTTATAATACCTCTATGAGCTATTGTATTAATTTTACTGACTGGGAAAGCAGGTTAATGATTGATGGCCCTCCCTCCAGGCCATGTAAGTCAGTAGCAAAGGCAGATTTTGAACTGGGTAGCTCCCGAATCTCATCCCCATACGCAGTCCACTAGACTAATGATTAACCTTTTTTTCCTGCAGCCCACAAAATGGCTGAAGTTGTCCCACATCCGGAAGACTGGATTTTTTCCCCCCACAAGTTGATTTCCCATCCATTTCATGGGTCTCACAATAAAAAAAAAAAAAAAAAAAAAAAAGTGAGGTACACCGATGGGGCTGCTGAGCACCTACTCTTTCCCCAGTAATCAGCTCCAGAAGTTTGGAACAGCACTTCCTAAAGAGATGTAAAGTTGACTGCACAGCCCTTTGTGCTCACCCTGGGGCCAAATCTCCCCCTGGAGCAGTGAGCACAGATGAACTGCTCTTGAAAAGCAGAGGGACTGTAAAGAGGCAAAGGAAGTATCTGCAGCAGCAACTGAGGGGGAATGAACTGATCCTCTCCCTCCCCCCACACCTCCAGCTCTTACTGGGTCCTACTGGCCCAGGAAATTTGCTGCAACTCACTGGGCATTCCCCCAGCAATCAATTTCCAGGTCGTGGCCCACCAGAGGATTGGGGCTGAACTACAATTACAATGCCAGCTTCAGGGTCAGCTTTTGTAAAGCTTTACAATACAACACTTTAGATTTATAGGATACTACTGGGTTAATTTAAGAGCATTAGTGGCTGGCCCATTGACTCTCTCCATTAAACTTTACTCAACAGAGCTCTCTAGCTGAAGATAGGGAATTGCTTCCTCCTCCTTTTCCAAAGTTACAGTTTTAATTGGGAGGGGAAAAAAAAAAGAGAATTAATACATCTCACCCAGCAAGCACTAGTCATCAAACATTGCTCTGTACCAAGTTTCACAGAAATTGTTCCCCAATTCTAAACTAAACACTGATCTGGTAGGAGGCAGATATTTCAGATAAAAATCTAGTTATTAAAGCCAATTAACATGCTGCTTATAAGTGTATTCATTTAAAAAAGTATTAATTTTAAGCAGTATCCATGGTCTGTCAGACAAGAAAATATGGCGCTAAACAACATTTCAATAAAATTAGTAACAGATCCAGACAAAGAATTTTACAGGAGACGTTCAGGGGAGAGAAAACAAACTTTAAAAACTTTTAATAAGGTTATTTTAAAATCATTATCACCATCTGCAATTACCTGGCTTCCAAATTGTGACCCAGTATATAGAAAACGTTGTATATAGTAAAATATAAGCCAGGCTAGTGATATAATCATCATGGTGATAAAAGCGATGGCTACAAACACAACTGACTGTCCACTGATATATTCTTGCACATGTCTTGTGCCAACACCAATAGTCATTTTTACTGGAATCCCTCTGCGTACTGGTTCCAAAATTTCTATCCCTTTTGGATATCCAACCATAATTACCACTGTATTGCCCGTTCCTGTTGGAGAAAAGGGGGGAAAAAAAAGTCAACAGAATGCACTTACTCCAGTTTATTATCTGAATGCAATTCAATCTTTTAAAGTTAACATATAAGAGGTGGACAAGATTAATGGAAAATGCTTAAAATTCTGAAAACAAAACAAAATTACTTTGACAAAGCAAGTTTAATTACTAAAAACAGCTTACATTGTGAAATTCTCAAATGGAATAATATATAAGAACCAGACATAATTATACATGAACCAGACATAGTTGAAATAAAACATATCTATTGAGGCCCCGCATGCCTCATTCCACAGAATACAATGGGATGCTGATCTGAAGATTCATTTAGCAAATAAAAAGATCAGTACAATTTATTAGGCTTTGAAGTCTCTATTTAAAGTACTAGAATGCATTCACGAGCATCCATTTGTTAGTTCATAACTCTAAAGTAGTAGCTGAAGATAGAACAAAAGAGCTTGATGATTTTGTCACATGTAATAGACAGTTTCAAGTCAGATCCCAAAGTACTCAAGCCAGATCCCAAGTATTACTCTGGGATGAGACCAACAGGAATTTCAAGTCTTTTTAAATGGTATCTGTCAGAGAGTTTGCTGTGGAAATACTTAGGAACTCGACTTGAAAAGGCTTTATATTCATGTGAGAGTTACTTGAAGTTATAAGTGCTTTTTTAAAAAAAAATCAGAGCACTGTGGCAGGCCAGACAAATAGAAGACATGCATGGGACTTACTGTAAACAAAACCAAAATTTCCCCTTCCCTAGAGGCTTTATTTCAGTTTATCGAAAACAGCGTATTCTCAGACCTTCGTCAGAGGTCTTGAGAGGACCTCTTTCTAACATCTTTCTAAAGCAAATAAATTGCACCTAACAAAGAAAGGGGGTTTACTTGCTAACAATGTTCTGGAGACCCACAGGTGCAACTTTCAGATGACCTGGGAGGAGACAAGTATTGTCCCCTATTTCCCTGTATGCTAAAACTATTATGGTTCTTCAAAGGATTACATTTTCCAGCCTGCTTTTCTCCTCCCAGTTCTGAGGCAAGGAACGGAACGGAACTACAAGAAGCCAGCTTGATACCCTGGGGTGGCATAGGGAATTATTTCAACCCACCCTACTCATGAAACTATTGACTTCAGGCTTTAAAGCTGGGATCAACATAATGGGCTTCCTTATACATTCCAGACTGCTTATTCAAGACCGTTCCCTCCCCATGAAGATATGTTTTGATGGGCAAAAATGTTTTTTCCAATTGCATTAACGTCACAATTGCAAAACCCCATTAAAATGTAGGCTATTTGTGTTTGAAGCGGTGTTAGCTGGTCACACCACCCAGGCTCCCTCCTAAAACTACAATATGCTGTAGCTTCAAATGTGTTAGCTTAACACAACTGAAATACCCTATGCAGGCTAACAATTCAACAAACCCCTCCATTACCCACCAAGAGAAGGCCACATTTTTCTGACTCCAGTATTTATTAAATCCTTTAGAGGCAACCTTTGGACAGGATAATGCTGGAAGCAGGAGGGTTCTCACACAAGCCTAAGAGGACTGCACACTCATGCGTGTTAAGAAATTATTACACTGCCATTTCTGTACATGGAGCTTTACAAACCAGCAAGACATGTCTCTGCCCCAAGGAACCTACAATCTAAAGTGGACATAAAGCAATACTGAAAACTGAGAATTCATTTCAAAGATACAAATATCCTCATCAAAAATCTTTAGTTTTTAAAGCTTGAGCCTCTTCCAATGGAATAATACTCTCCATCCAGAAGATTTAGATCTTAATGTCACAGTTGGCCTTTTTTTAGGTTACAGAACACCCACCACTCTAGGCATTACAAGGATAAAAAACAAGTAATTAGTTAATAAGGGGGGGAAATCAGAAACAATTTCCACCTTTAAACCAAGCCAAAGACCATTACCAGCTATAGAGAGCAGTATCATCAATGATACATAAGGAAATTTAGATCACTTTTTACTCTCCACATACATGCTACAGAAGAAAAGATTCTGGCAAGAAAAGAGGTTTTTTTTCAGAAGACAAACATCTAGTCAACCAACTAACCGTACATGTATTTATTCAACTCTAGAAGCTGGAAACAAGTTTAAAAAAATCTCATTGCATCTGCACAGCCACTCATCCAAAATTAAATACTTTTACTTATTTGTAATCCAACAGATGAAAGTCTCTCTTTTTTTATAATATCTTGTTATTTATCAGCATGGTTTATCAACCTTTGCTAAGCACTTTTTAACATTCTGTGTAGTTTAATACTAAATAGAGAGCCAAGGAAGTACAACAAGTAGCTCTGATCCCACTCCGGATGTACATTAAACCTAGATGTGTATAGCTCAGAACCACAAGTATCCAAATCTTAAACAGGAAAGTATATTCGGTATGTCCTCTTGTTTGTTGTCTCCCCCCTTCTTCTGATGAAATAAGCTATACCAGCAAAAACGCAGTTTTGCCAGTATACTGTCAGTTTTTTCACACCTCTGACTGAAAAGAGTTACTGACAAAAGTACTAGTGTAGACATAGCCTTACAAAGCAGCTTAACAGTACTAGTTAATCATGATTCCAACTTGCAGGATGGTGCCACTCACTTATTACTTCAAGAGGGACTTACTTCCCTTCAGGGTTTCAAATATACTTTGAAGCAACAGCACTCCAAAGTTGACTTTTTCAGCTAATTTTACTAGGAGAAAAGAAAACTGCCTCTTGTTTTTAAAAAACTACCAAAATGTATTTAAAATCCTCTTGAAGGATTGCCAGGATACTAGTAAGATTATTACACAGCAGCAGGTTCACTGGCATCTGCAACAGGGTTTTTCCCACTATGCTTTGATTTCTTACTCCTTGTATCCTGCCCTGAAGGTCGCCTCCTATGCCTTTAAACATACTTGATGGTAGTTAAAAAAAAATTAGGTGTGTGTGGTTTTTTTTTTTAAATAAAGTTCTCAAGCAAGTAATGCTTTCACACACACAAAATTCAGCAGACTGTGTGGAGCCAGAACACTTGAGCTCTTACCTTGGCAGGGTTACAGACACTGTATGTAAGCTACAGATAGACAGGCATGCTTAGACAAGTCAATTTGATCCCTCTATACATCACTTTTCTCACCTTACTTCAGAAAGGTGTGAGGATTATAAGGTGTACTTTGACGATGAAGTGGTAAGTACGACAATAAAGCCTGCACTAAAGACTCATCCAATAGGTAATTCCCTGTCTTAAGTGACCATTTTTACATCTCTGCGGTATCCAGTACAATTTTGTTCAGCCCGTAGTTAAAGAGCAACATATTCACTTATGATGTATTACGTGCTCAGATTCTGTGGTGCTTCTCACAGTAGTAAGACCTGGGGCAGTTGCTTAATGGTTTCACTGCAACACTGCTTGATAATTTCTGCGTCCCTTCCTAAAGGCTTGGTGTAAAACTTTGTGCCTCTACCAAACAGACCCCTCGCTTTAGTATTATGTGTAGTGACAGGAAACAAGCCCTACACGTCCTTTTTAAGGGCGCTTCATGGTGTTCCCCTTTTCCCTTTCCCCCGAAAAAGCATCTCGTGTCACCGGGGAATGTTGAACCCAGACACACACTCGCCCCCCTCTCCACACCCCCCCCCCCAAAAAAAACACCTCCCTCCCCACTGGGCCCCTTTTCCTCCGAGCCCCCCCCCCCGGCCCCGCCCGCTGCCGACCCCCCAGGGCCCAACGCCGCCCACTCACCAAGGTGAGACATGGAGACGGTGGCGTTGCCGAAGCGGGGCTCGTTGTAGATCACCACGGCCACCGCCCGCTTCCGGGCCGCGTTGGTGACTTTGTCCTTGAAGGTGCAGCCCCCGCGGGCCACCAGCGCGATCCAGGGCGGCGGCGGCTCCCCGCCGGGCGGGCCGCGGCTCCCCGGCGGCAGGGGCACGTCGTAGTCGGTGTCCGAGGCGCAGCCCTCCATGCGGCGGGCGGAGGCGCCGCGGGGGATGCCCACCAGGCCCTGCGCGCTCTCCTTGGGGGAGCTGTCCCCGTAGCGGCCGCTCTCGGCGCTGCCCCGCACCGTGCGGTTGCTGAGCGGCTCGGTGTAGGCGGTGCTCACCCACGCCGTGTACCACTCCAGGAGCCGGGCGCCGCCGCCGCGCGGGGCCCCCAGCGCCAGCAGCGCCGCCGCCACCAGCGTCAGGCGGACACGGCACAGCATGGCCCGGCCGCGGCGAGCGGGGAGACCCGGGCCGCCTGCGTCTCACGTCTCCTGCCGGGCCGCGGGACGAATGAGAGGCGGAGGGGCGCCGCCCACTTCCCCAGCCAGGCCGCCGCCGCCGCCGCTCCCGCGGCGCAGGTAACGGGCGCCCTCCCCGCCCTCGTGGGAGTTGCGGCCGGAGCGCAGCTAATGGGAGGCGGAGGCCGGGCCGAGCCGGCTCCTCCCCCTCAGCGGGGCCGGTGGGCGGGGCCGGCCGGCGAGCTACGCGGGGGGGGCTCTGCGCGCGGCTCCTTCGCAAACCGCGGCCGCCAACAGACCCGCCCTGTGCGCGCGCGCACGCGCGCAGGGGCCGAGCGGGGGAAAGGAGTCCTCGAGTTAATGTCCCCTGGCCTCCGAAATCTGGCCCGCTCCCTCCTCCCCCCCGACCATTGGCCCTGAGAACACGGGGCGGGGGCGGAGCCTTAACGGCTCGCGACCCTACGCGCGCCGGAGGAGCTGCCGGGTCTCCCGGCTTGGGGGACAGTGGAGGCTGCCCGCTCAGCGCCCGTGCTGTCAGCGCGTGAGGCCCCGGGCACGTGGAGCGTTGGGCGGCCCCGATCCGGCCGCCCACGCGGAAGCACGTGCTCAACGGAAGGGGTCCCCCTGAAAACGATCAAAGTGAAGCCGGGCACCTGCCCTGAAGCGTTTGCAGGGTCTGGAGAAAAGACATTCCCCGCCTCCCAGTGCTCAGAGCCCTGCCAATGGTGCCCAGGGTGTAGGTCGTGGGCTGGAAAGGCCAAGGCAGCAGAGACCCAAGGAGACCAAGAGGATGATGATGATCACTTGGATGTCTGTATTTGTTTTTCAATGCCAGCAAGAGGATGTGACTAATTGAAGGCCTGGCTGCAGGCTCGCCCACGTTTGGTCAGTGACACACAAGCTAGTCACTCACTCCACCCTCCAAAACACTCCTCACCTGCATTGTAGGGGTCATCCCCAGAGGAGGATGGGAAGGAGAGAAATGGATGAGAGGAAGTGAGGGTGAACAGAGGGTCAAAAGCCAGGTAGAAATAGAGAGGATGGGCAAAAATAGAGCATGACAAGGAGGAGAGCAAAATCATTGAAGGTAAAGAGAGCTCAAATAAACATTTAAAAGGGATGAGGAGTCTGGTGGCACCTTAAAGACTAACAGATTTATTTGGGCACAAGCTTTAATGGGTAAAAAAACCCACTTCTTCAGATGCATGGAGGGAAAGTTACAGATGCAGGCATAAATATACTGACACATGAAGAGAAGGGACTTACCTTACAAGTGGAGAACCAGTGTTGAAGGCCAATTCAATCAGGGTGGATGTGGTCCACTCCCAATAATTGATGAGGAAGTGTCAATACCAAGAGAGAGAAAATTGCTTTTGTAATGAACCAGCCAGTCCCTATTCAAGCCCAAATTAATGGTGTTAAATTTACAAATGAATTGTAAATGCGCAGCAGTTTCTCTTTGAAGTCTGTTTTTGAGGGGGTTTTTTGTGGAAGGATGGCTACTTTTAAATCTGTTATTGAATGTCCAGGGAGATTGAAGTGTTCTCCTACTGGCTTTAGTATGTTACCATTCCTGATGTCTGATTTGTGTCCATTTATTCTTTTGCGTAGAGACTGTCCGGTTTGGCCAGTGTACATGGCAGAGGGGCATTGCTGGCACATGATGGCATATATCACATTGGCAGATGTGCAGGTGAATGAGCCCCCGATGGTGGGCTGATGTGGTTGGGTCCTCTGATGGTGTCACTAGAATAGATATGGGGACAGAGTAGGCAACGGGGTTTGTTACATGGATTGGTTCTTGGGTTAGTGTTTCTGTGGTGTGGTGTGTAGTTGCTGGTGAGTATTTGCTTCAGGTTGGGGCTGTCTGTAAGGGAGGACTGGCCTTCCCTCCAAGGTCTGTGAGAGTGAGGGATTGTTTTCCAGGATAGGTTGTAGATCTTGATGATGTGCTGGAGAGGTTTTAGCTGGAGGTTGTATGTGATGGCCAGTCGTGTTCTGTTATTTTCCTTGTTGGACCTATCCTGTAGTAGGTGACTTCTGGGTACCCATCTTGCTCTGTCAATCTGTTTCCTCACTTCCCCAGATGTGTATTGTAGTTTTAAGAATTGTTGATAAAGATCTTGTAGGTGTTTGTTTCTGTCTGAGGGATTGGAACAAATGTGGTTGTATCTTAGGGCTTGACTATAGACAATGGATCGTGTGATGTATCCTGAATGTAAGTTGGAGGCATGTAGGTAAATATAGCGGTCAGTAGGTTTCCGGTATAGGGTGGTGTTTATGTGACCATCACTTATTTGCACTGTAGTATTCAGGAAGTGTCCCCTTTAAAAGGGATGAACAAATTGTAGACCAGGATTTCTCAGTCCCTGGGTCAGGACACAAAATTGGGTCACCAGAATGTTTCAAAAGGTTGGGCGGTGGCTCCTGTGGCTTCTGTCACACAGAACTGGCTGTGCTCGCCTACCTGCTCCAGGCGCTGAAACTTCTGGGATCCTAGTACCATTCAGGTTTGGCTCAGTCATCATGATGATGGGACCCTGGGTAGGCTAAATTTGACTGAATGGCACTGCAACCCCATGAGCCAGGTCACAACTCCACTCACACAAATTTGGTCCAGTCAGGGTGGCAGGTCCAAACCCCAGGGATGCTGAAACCTCAGAGGTTGCAATGCCTGGAATGGAGAACCAAACCCAGCCCAGCCAGTCCCACAGCATAGGAGATGCCACTGTGAGGTGAGTGCCAGGCAGGACCTGATCAAAACCACCACAGGGCCTCCACCCTCAGACTATTATTTACTGGGTCATGACAGGCCATAAACATTTACAAATGGGTCCTGAGCCCAGAAAGGTTGAGAAACTGTTATAGATATTTGTCTGAGAGAAAACCTGTAGACTGGAAAACACTGAATTATTAAAAAAAAAAGTGAACAAAATGAAAAAAGCCTAAGGCAAAAATAAAGATAACAGTTTTATATATTGTTTTAGTTGTATGAAAAGTTTGAGCTATACAAAATAAAATTTATATCAAGGATTTAATGATTTCGCTGTTTTTAGTGCCCAAGTAATCTGCATGTTTTCCCAGCTACTCTCTCTCCCTAGTCCCCAACCACTTTTAATGCTCTCAGGCACCAACATTTTCTTTTAGAAAAAATGCATTATGTGGTATGATCATATTACGTCTGATATGTTGTCAAACGAGGCTTCTCCTTTTCCCACTAAACTGATTGAACCAGTAGTGATCATAACACCTCGTAGCAGTTCCAAGCCTTGAGCGCTGTTGACCCTGTTTATACCAGCAGAACAGCTATTTTCCCTGTCAGCATGAAGGTTGATATGTTTAAAATTCCATTCCAGGGGTTAAAGTAAAAATTCCCCAATCCATCTACTCTTTAAAAGTGGAGTATAGCAGTGGCTCTCAACCTATCCAGACTACTGCACCTCTATCAGGAGTCTGATTTGTCTTGCATACCCCTAAGTTACACTTCACTTAAAAACTACTTGCTTACAAAATCAGACATAATCTTACAAAAGTGTGGCAGCACACTGTTGTTGAAAAATTGCTTACTTTCTCACTTTTACCATATAATTATGAAATAAATCAATTGGAATATAAATATTGCACTTACATTTCAGTGTACTGTATATAAAGCAGTACAAACAAGTCATTGTCTGTATGAAATTTTAGTTTGTATTGACTGTGGTAGTGCTTTTAATATAGTCTGTTGTAAAACTCGGCAAATATCTAGATGAGTTGGTGTACCCCCTGGAAGACCTCTCTGTACTTCAAGTGGTAAACATACCCCTGGTTGAGAACCACTAGAGTAGAGGAAGCCAGTACAGTTAGAGCACTCTCTAAAACTTCTTGGCAATGTAGTTTTAGGACTCTCTCCAAAGGCACTCAGCATTTCAAGAAAAAGATCAAAGTAGCAAAATCAGGAGGACAACCAAGACTGAGAATTAAAGGAACATATAAAGTACTGCCAGGGGTGGGGTGGGGGATAAAAGGAGTCAAGAGCTGTGGAGACCAAAGAGTTAAATGTAGAGATCATGGAGTTGAAAGAAGAGGGGTTAGAGAAGCAGAGAAGTCAGAGGGCGGTAAGTTGGAGATGATGAATGGAGTTAGTGACAGACTAGAGGCAGACAAAAGGTGAGCAGTGTTGAAGGACAGCAAGTGACAAGACAGGGAATTCAGAGTGAACAAAAGAGCAGTGTTTGATAAAAACTTTATCAAGAGAGGTGACCAAGATGGTGCATTGAGTCAGTCCAAAAGTGAAGATCAAATGAGGAGGTTATGGAAAGGCAATTATAAGCAGCCAGTGGACATCAACGTGGAGATTAAAGCTACCACAGATGCGAGCAGGAGATTAAGATGAAAGGAGGAAAGAATTGGCATTAAAGTCAGTAACATAAAGGGAACTGTACATAACAGCTGCAGGGCATGCAGTTTTAAGAATGTAGGGTGGTGGAATGGGGGGAGAAAGTGCTGACTAATTAGATGGGTAGGAAAGGAGCCCAATACTGAAGGGAAGAGGCCAGCTGTAGACACAAGGAAAGAGACTGGGTTGGAGATAGAGGGATGGATTGGATTTCAATGATTGTGAGGAGTTAATAGGAGCTAAAGGCTGTGAGTCAAATTAATTTCTTGGATGTGGCACAGGAACTCTGGAGGGGGAAGGCTGGCTAGCTTAGAGGTTGGTGAAAGTAGGTAATAATGTGGGGGAGGAAGAGAAGAAGAATGGTGGGCCTTGGCTTGGGAGAGATTGCCAGAGAGTAGTCAGTACGAACAAGATGGAGATGAGAATTAGGGACAGGAAGGGGAAGAAACAGCACTGAAATGAAGTTCCATAGTACTATTAATTCACAAAAGATTGAAACCAATGCCTTGTCGCTTGCCTGACACCTGCATGTATAGGAATGAGTGGTGAGCTGTATTAAGAATGATGTATGGCTATAGGATGCTGTGTTACATTGAGATTAAACCAAATACAGAGAGGAATGGAGGGGGAAAAAAAGAAGAGTGCATGTTTTCCCAGTGTATCCCTCTCCTTCCTCCCTAAACATCTGAAGAGCTGACTGTCAATTCCCAGATTCCCTTTAAAGGAACAAAGATGTCCTTTTTTCCACCAGGAATATTGTGCAAGACTGAGAAAAACAGTAGTTAGATAAGATAGAAATTTTAAAGGCTGTCAACCAAACTTCCTCTTGTTCATTCCTGTTAAAATCCTATTACAGACATCAAAATATTCAAACTGCAACTTCCCTTTTGCTATTTATTTGCATTTCATACTTGTTGGGCAATTTGTTAACAACATTCATTATCTTTACAAGTCAAAATACATTGCAAAGTGCAATACACATCCATAAACAGTACATACAAGTAAATGATGAAAATTACTCTAGAAATGAAGCATTCTTTGGTTAAATAAGAACAACAGTTAAAACTAGCTGTGCTTAATACTGTACATGCATTACCTTGGTACAAATTAGTAAAGGATTGTAACATTGTTCATCAGAAGTCAAAATTCATAACTTCATTTTCTTTTTTCCAGCTAACATACAGTCATAAATAAATGCATCTCTGGACTATTCCAGAGCCACAAGTGAAGATTTAACTAAAGAAAGATTGCACAGCAAGGCTTTTCTGAAATGAGAATATTTGATTGATATTAAGCTGTAAAATAATTAAACTAAAATGTGATTCTTACTGAAGTACAGAATACATGAAAATAAATTGGATGTCGGTAAGTTGCAATGCTTTATAGATACTGTACTGACGATCAAATCCTTGAGATCAGAATGAAATAAAAGGGAGTTTTACTATTGATTTCCATAGGCGCAAGATCAGACCCCATGGGTTATAACCAATAGCCTGAGGGAAATTTGAATCTATTATAGAATCTTTACAATAATCTTTGGGTTAAAAGTTTAATAAACTCTATTCACTTAACTCATATCACATGATGATTGATATAAGTTGAAGAATTTGGGAATTTAAATTTTTTTTAGATAGTTTGTAGCTAATTATTTAAGGCCCAATTAAACAAACAACCTCCACCTCCACCCCACCATTCCCAAACCCCTTTATTCAGAGAAGTCACTTCAAGGCTACTTGGGCAGGTTTGTGATGGGCTTTTATAGCCTTTCAGGGGCTTTTGTGGTGTGGAAGCAAGACTTTTGGTTAAGATGACATATCTGTTTAAGAAGCCTCCTTTGCCATCTTGACAAGAATCTAAAATTTGTTGGTAAAACTCCTTAGTCCTTCAAAGACTGCAGTATTAATTGACAGGAGAGAGAAGAAGTGTGGACTTAGTAAGATATTCTAGGTCAGGTGGGGTAGAACAACATTAGTGGTATATTGTAAAGTAAGCAGAGGCTAAGAACTGATAAAGCAGCCCCACTTGGCCCTACAGGAAAAAATTGCCAGTCCAACATGTGCTTTGCAGTGAAGTTTTGACTTTCCTCATAGGGAGAATGGAAATTTTTTGCTTGGTCTTTGAACTGAAAATGCTACTAATTATTCCAGTCTTCCTGGTACAAAGACAATGTAGGAGACTCCCTTTTAAATCTACCTAGGGAACAGGATTAAAAGGCTGGCTCCACCACTGGGGGGAATCAGGGACGGGCTATGAAAGGCTATCTCAGGAATGAATTAATGAAACTGAGGGGAGAGACAAGATGTGACCTTAGGCCAGCAAGTAACTTAATATTTCTCCTGTCTCATAATCTAAAACAGGTTTAGTAGAGACTACATTTTTAAAAAAGAATGTTGATAAATGTATTGGGATTATCCTGTGGTGGGTCTGATTTCTTGTTTGACCCTTTAACATGTTTAATCATCCTTGTGCTGGTAAAAGATACTGTGTACTGAATTTATTTTGTTTGAGCTGTTTGTACTTTGCCACTGCAATAGCCAGCAAGGTCCACCACTCCTTCTCCTCAATTTCCAAACAAAATATTTAACTGGATAATTTGGAAAAGGGTGTGACTGACTAAAACATAAATTCCAAAATGAGGATCTCTACATTAAAAGTATTAAACACAAACTTAAAACATCTTTTTATTTATGCAGCTAGGGATATTTGCTTAGAACACCAACAAAACAAGATAGCAAGTAGCAATAATACTTCCACAATATTCAGCAGTCATTTATTTTTTGTGTGGGTAATTAGATTTTCTGTAAATCAGAATGCCACAGTTAGCATATATTGTAAGTGTCACATGAGTGAGTGGATGACACTAAAAATCAAAACAGGCAGATCCAAAAAAATTTTAAGTAGCAGTCAGGAAGGTATCAAACCTATCTGAAATGCCAAGATTGTGTGTTCCAGTGTAGGATTTACCATCCACATATCATTTTTAATATAAAGATCCATATTGGTTTATTAGCATTTGATCCACATAAAAAAGATGGGGCCATTTTGAATGCTTTTGAAAAAAAGTCACTGTAAAATACCCGTCCAACAACATGGTGTTGGAAAAAGTTTTTGGAAAGCAAATATGAAAACTGTGAAGATTTATATTTCAAACCCAATCACTCTTTACTTGGAACTGCTTTGAAATACTCTTCCACTGCAATGGTGGAAACTCCTCCATACCAGTTCTGAAGCCAGATGTGCTCAATGTTCATTTTCATAAAGAACCATTCGTAGTTATGAGGCCATTTCCTCATAACTGGGTGCCTGAAAAGACAAAGAATTCCAAAAAGGTTTGCCAAAATGCATATCTAGTGGATTTCTTTCTTCAGTGCAGTAGTTGCTAACCTTTGGCAACTAGAAGAGTTTACCTGAATAAAACCTGGGCTGTACCAGGCAGCATCATTGACCTATGCTCACTTTCACTTGCAATGAACCTTGCTCTAAACCTACATGTGGCAGCAAATAAAAGTGCAGGAAGGGTACCTGAGAGGCCCATCATTAAAAGGCAGATTTTGCCCAGCCCTTAAACAGGTGGAAAGTGCTGGCAGAAGGCAAAAGGGCCTGCATCCACAAAGGGACTTGGGTGTTGCAATGTGGAGCATTGCAGTGACTCACTTTTATGCGCCTAGAGAATCATTGGAACAACAATGGGATCCACAAAGCTTGGGTTAGGTGCCTAGGCTAATTATACAACAAATGGGGAGAAAAAGGTGCCTAAGAATGCAATCCACAAAAGCAGCAGTCTAGGCAGGGAGTTGCCTAAATTAGCCAATGGGAGATGCTGATGAAAGGGATGTGTCCCAAGTGCTGCCCCGCTCACAGTTCATCACCTGCCTATTTCTGCTTTTATGCCACAGCTTGGAACCCTCTTTTGCAGTTTCCACAGAATGCATCTGATGAAGTGAGCTGTAGCTCACGAAAGCTTATGGTCAAATAAATTGGTTAGTCTCTAAGGTGCCACAAGTACTCCTTTTCTTTTTGCGAATACAGACTAACACGGCTGTTACTCTGAAACCTTTCCTAGAGTCAGGCAGCTAAACCACTTCGTGTGAGAATGAGTTAGGCAGGCACCTGATTCCACATACAATGGGAGAAGATGGAAAGTGTAGTGCTGCCTACCTTATAACTTCTAGCTCAGGGGTGCACAAACTTGTTGGCCTGAGGGCCACATCGGGGAATATAAATTGTATGGCGGGCCATGAATGCTCACAAAATTGGAGTTGGGGAGCGGGAGGGGGTGAGGGCTCTGGTTGGGGGTGAGGGCTCGGGGGTGGGGCTGGGGATGAGGAGTTTAGGGTGTATGAGGGGGCTCTGGGCTGGGACTGAGGTGTTCGGAGGATGGGATGGGGATCAGGGCTGGGGTAGGGGTAGGGGTGGGAGTGAGGCTCTGGGGTGGGGTTAGGAATGAGAGGCTTAGGGTGCAGGAGGGTGCTCTGGGCTGGGATCAAGGGGTGGAGAGTGGGAGAGGGATCAGGGTTGGGGCAGGGGGTTGGTGCGTGGGGAGAGGCTCGGGGTGCAGGCTCTGAGCAATGCTTACCTCAAGCGGCTCCTGGAAGCAGTGGCATGGCCATTCTCTGGCTCCTACACAGAGGCGTGGCCAGGCGGCTGTGCATGCTGCCCCATCCACAGGCACCGCCCCTGCAGCTCCCATTGGAATGCTTAGGAGCCAGAGTCGGGCCATGCCACGGCTTCCGGGAGCAGTGTGGAGCAGCCCCTAACCCAGTGCCCCAGCTGGAGCACCAGAGCGGGGCGGAGCCATGTGGTGTGGCTCCCAACCCAGCGCCCCAGCCGGATTGCTGCAGCGGCACCCTGGCTGGAGCGGGGCTGAGCTGCGTGGTGCGGCCCCCGACCCAGCACCCCAGCTGGAGCGCTGTAGTAGGGCAAACCCCAGACCCTGCTCCCCAGCAGGAGCTCACGGGCCGGCTTAAAATGGTCCGCGGACCGTAGTTTGCCCACCCCTGTTCTAGCTCATTGGTTAAAACACTCACCTGGATATGGAAGGCTTGGGTTCAGTTCACTCCTCTGTCTGATGGAGAGGAAAAGATTTGAACAGAGATCTCCCACCTCTCAGGAGAATGCCCTAACCACTGGGCTAAAAGTTGCAAGATGGTGGTGGCACCATCACCTCCCTGCAAGATTTTGAAGGGGACTGATCCAGTAGGTGACCTCTGAGTGTGCCTACCACATTGGGCCCTGCAGGCAAGATTGATGTTCACTGCCTATTTTCCCCTGGTTGGTGGATTGCACTGGGGCTTAGATGAAATGTAGGTGTACAGATGCCTAGAGTAAGGCAGCAGTGTGCATGCTCAGAGGCGGAAAATTAGGCACCTAAATAACTTTTACAGTAGAAACTTTATGCCACCAGTGAATTTAGGTGCCTACAGTGTTAGGCGGAAGCCGAGCGGGGATTTTGTGGATCACAGAGGGGCCTAAAACTGGGACTTGGGCACCTAAATCTGGGGTTCAGGCGGATCTGGGCCAAGGTGCCTTCATCCCCTTGCTTGACTCACTTAAAGGCCTGGAAGAATTGCAGTCCTTTGCTTTGGGGAACATCAGGATTACTGCTTTCCTAGTCCTGTGAGAGTGCATGGCACCTCAAAGGGGGTGGGGGACGAGATGAGCCATAATTCTGTCCCCCTAACCACTAACCGTCACACCTGGCTAGCTGCATGGAAGATGCTACTTACACAAAGGTGTGTAAGTAGCAAATGTGGCGACACCTGGAAGCACCCTGAGACATTCAGGCTGCCTCCTGGATCTCCCTATGAGGCAGTAGAGTTCATCACTGGCCCTTTCTATGGACTGTGCCTAACTGACACAATCTTGTTTTGTGGAAGGGAGGAAGAACCAAAAGTGCTAGTCACAGAAACCTCTGATATGACTACACATGCTGGAGGTAAGGGAATCACCCTTAATACTTTTGTAAATCCTAGAATTATATACAGCAGGTTCTATCAAAATACATATTGATCGCTACTTATCTGGATGGCATATCTGACTGTCCCAAGAGTACTAAGATAGTCCTAAAGGCCTGGATAATTAACCAAGCAGCACTGGATAAAATTTCACCTTACATGCTCTACAGCCTAGTAAGTAAAGAGCAGGCCTGTTACTCCTGGGATCCTTAATCCCAACTGCCTACCTCACTCACAATTTATTCATCTCAATATTGTAGGTATTACTATATTACATAAATATCACATACAGACCTAGAAAACATAGCTTGTTTGGCAAATTCCATTTCCTCTGGTGGTACCATGACCATCTGTCCTGTGAGAGTCAGTCTGGCACACCTTGGATCCTCAGGATCAATTATATTTTTTCTGCACACAGAGAAAAGTAATCATGTATAATAGATTGTTTTTTACAGCAGAGGTCTTTAAGAAGCTATTCATATTGGCTAAATATATAGCATGCTCTTGGGGAATATGAGCTTGTGCTCACATATTGAGCAGCTGTAATATTCTAAGCCCAGGGCTTGCTTCTCCAAACCTTACTCACATGAGTAGTGATATTCCATGGGACTGTTCAGGTGGGTGAGGAATACTCACATGAACAAGAATTACAGGATCAGGCCCAAAATTTGAAGCAAAACAGAGATTCATCTGTTTTCTAACCATGCTTTTGAAAATAATTAATAAGTAGATGATGTCTTCTATCTATTCAAATTGTAATTGTTCTAATCTTTTATGTTATAAGCTGATTTTCTGTTGAACTTTTATGAATGTCATTCTGTAGCAACAAAAATTAGGATTGGCCATCCATGCACAGAACCAGACTTAGAATTTTTGTGTAGATCTGCAAAACAATTTTAAGGTGCCCCACCCAAGCACCTCAAAAACATCACTGATTCTTGTCCACCCTTATCACACCACTATACACAGGATTTTGAGGAGGGTTAGTGAAATGGTTAGCATACACCCAAAACCTAAACGATTACAAAAATGAATGTGTATGTAACTTTAGTCCCCTTCCTCGTAGCCTTCTGCTGTAGACCCACCTGCTTGCTCATTTCTACACTAGTGATTGGTCTACATCACTTTATGTTTTCAAGGCTAAAGAAGGACAAGGAAAAGAGCTAGAGTCTCACTATTTTTAAAAGGAGAACTCTGATTCTCTGTTACGTTTCTAGTTCATTCAAATTAGGGGGCTCTTGACTGCTCTCCAGCTCTGCCTGCACTGTAATGGCATTTAAATAAATTACAAGTGTAGCTATGGGACTGATTCTATGACTATAAGAACAGCCATACTGGATCAGACCAATGATCCACCTAGCCCAGTATCTTGTCTCTGACAGTGGCCAGTGCCAGATGCTTCAGATGGAATGAACAGAACAAGGCAATTTCAAGTGGTCCGTTCCCTGTCATCCAGTCGCAGATTCTAGCAGTTTGAAGTTTAGGGACACCCAGAGCATGGGGCTGCATCCCTGACCATCTTGGCTCTCTGTTACATTGATATAAATGAGGAGTAAGTCCACTGCTAGCAAAATCACAATGAAACCATTGTGAGGGCCTAATTGCGTGAGAAGCTGAGTGGCCTCAACTTCCATTAGTTTCAACAGCAGTTGAAACTGCTCAGCACCTCACAGTGTTAGATCCTACACGATGGCTTAATTAGGTCCAGAGACTCACATTAAGAAACAAGCATTGCAATTGTTGTTCTCAAGTGTTTTAACATAAAGAAGGAAACTGCAGTAAATTAAGCCTGATCTGCATGCAGTTTTACTCATAGATCTTGACTTGAACTCGTTAGCCTGGCCCCTCACTGTAGATACAATTTGCCTATTACTTTTTTCCTTATAATTCTCAGTATGTTTTTGTTGCATGGACACATATGGGAGTGTTCCTGCAGCTAATTTAACACCTGCAAATTCCCCACAAATGGTAATAAAAACTCTGTCGCCTACTGGATAAAGTGTCTGCTTTTATACAGAAAATAGAATGGGCTGATACTCAGCTGTGCCCAATAAGCACTGGGCACAGCTGACAGCATGAGCGGCAAAGGTGCAATATGTGTTCTCTTACCCACAAGATGGTTTTCTACCATCTCCAGAAGCTTAGAGCAGCCTCAGGGCTCCCAAGGAGCTGTTATGCTGACTGAGATCAATGTGTACTTTGGTCATGACTCCTCCCACCTTCTACATTCAGTGGGGGAAAGAGGGAGAGACCAGAGTTGGGGCTAGGATCCAGCTCAAATTTTTTATTTAACATTGGTTTATTTAAAAAAATGATGATCTAGAAATTTTCCAGCAACATATTTTAGTACAGACTAAGGAATTAGTGTTACTCTGAGCGCCTGAAAATCTGCATTTCCCTGACTAGATTCTGATTTCAGTTATACCAGCGTAAGTCCATTGAAGTCAGTGGAGTTACTCCCAATTTACACTGCATAACTGAGATTAGTCTAGCCTCTGACTTTTTGTGTTTAAGATTGCATTAGCATCATATTTTTATCTATTTAATTAGATTAGTTTTTAAAATAAGTGAACGGAATTTTTAACAAGCAAAATATGTACCTGTAGAAATTCAGTTCAATTAATAAGCCTGTTTCCACCTGCATGCAACTGACTATTTCTTCATTACAAGCCCATCAGGTATTTGAAAATGGAGTAAAACAATTGAACAGTGGATAAAAACAAATTAGTTTGCAAGTGCATTTGCTTGGTATATCTTAGTTATTTGTTGCAAGTTACTTACAGGAAGAAGGATCTATAAAATGACATTCTTTCTGGTTGGAAGGTTAAGTTTCATGGGACGTATGGCAGTGGGAGATTTGATTTGACTATGTGTGTTATAATCAGGAGCTATCAGAGAGCATGTTAGATCCCTCCTCCTAACTCTTTTAGAATAAAAGAGAAATGTGTACACAAAAAGATCAAATAATTATATCTGTTAATTTTCAGTACTGGCCTACATCAAGAGATATGTACCTCAATATCTAGAATGTTTGAGCATGTTCTTTCTCCTTGGCCTTTTCTTTTGTTTGCAGATTTCACTATGTTTTTGTCTCACTGGTTGGGGTGTTTCGCTTATTTGCACATGTGATTAAAAGACTATTAGTCTTTGGAACAGTTTGTTCAAACTGTAGTTTGTATATTTAAATATTCAGTTTAGGGGGGCGCAGTTTGTTTTGCTGGCAAATCAGCAAGCAAATTTTGTGCGAAGATTAAATCGGACAAAATACTAAAAAAGCTGAACAAGGACAGTGACACATCTGAACTTGGTACACTCTGTTGTTATATTGTTGGCATGGCTTTTATCACTGGCTTTTATCATACTTTTCCGTTCCATAACAGTTAACTTTGTATCCTAGTCTTACATTGACATTGGTATTTTATCTAACAAAAGGCTTAATGTTCTGAAAGAACTCTACTTTTGCATTTTCTTTGGTATAGTATTCCCCTTACAATGTGCTTTTTTTTCTTTCTAAACCTGTGTACAAGCACTAAAGTTGTAGTAGTACAGTTCTGTCTCTAATGTGGACAGGTCCTGTGTTTTCAGTGTGTTATTGGTACAGCTGATGTAAATTTGGGACTTTCTGCCCAGAAATAGAGGGATATAGGAAGTGAACCAGCAGCCTCTCTTCATTCATAAACTCCTTGTGCATATCAGTGGATATCATAGAATAACAGAGTTGGAAGGGACCTCAGGAGGTCATCTAGTCCAACCCCCTGCTCAAAGCAGGACCAAACCCCAATTTTTGCCCCAGATCCTAAATGGCCCCTTCAAGGATAGAACTCACAACCCTGGTTTTAGCAGGCCAATGCTCAAACCACTGAGCTATCCCTCCCCCCTATACATAGTTATACATTTAGTAATGATTTCTTGCCTTCTATATAAAAACATTCACATTCAGTCCTCACTCCTCAGGTCCATCTTAGCTTTGTGTGGCATAAAACTGAGTGGGAAGATGAAAGTAGGTCTATTTTTGTGACACGGAGGGCCATTGGTGATTCGCTGCTTTATTTCAGTAACTCATCAGGTCTGACATACTCATTACACCTAATACACCGTTTTCATGATATATACTCAAAAGGTGGCATATAATATCTAACTGAAAATTAATAACTCACTGATCCTTAAAATTCTACATGACGTATTTATAAGATCTGTACAAAGAGTTATAAATATGCACCAGAATTATGGTCTTAAAATGTGCTTGGCAAGCAATGCATAAGCCCAGATTGCCCTAGAGAAAGGAATGTGTATTTGCTTGTCTGACCAGCCTGGTCATCAGGCAGAGACAACGAAGGTATATTTACATAAAAGGTAAACAAAGCCATCAAACTAGCGAGTGGGGGAGATAGCCTCTTAACTATAAACAGTGGCGGTCGGAACCTCAACTGATGAGCAATTGCATCAACTGATTGTATACAATATTACTGTATAAAAGCATATCAAGTAAGGTCTTTAATGAAAGCCTGTGACACACTGGTGATTAATATAACTGTGAAATGTAGGCATTAATACAATATGAGGAATTATGGATACACATTGACATGCTTTACAGCAGCAGTTCTCAACCAGGGATCCGGAGCCCCCTGAGGGGTGGGGGGGCACAAGCAGGTTTCAGGGGGGCCATCAAGCATGGCTGGCATTAGACTCACTGGAGCCCAGGGCAGAAAGCTGAAGCCCTGTTGCCCAGGGCTGAACCCTGGGACCCTGAGCCCCGCCACCAAGGGCTGAAGCCAAACCCTGCGTAACTTAGCTTTGTGGGGCTCCCTGTAGCATGGGGCTTCAGGCAGTTGCCCTGCACACTACCCCCTAATGCTTACCCTGGCTTTCATATGCATTAAAACAGTTGTTGTGGCACAGCTGGGCCTTGGAGTTTTTATAACATGTTGGGGGAGCCTCAGAAAGAAAAAAGTTAAGAACCCCTGCTTTACAGTCCGTGACCAGACACAGTGAGAAACAGATTTTCTCCCAGAGAGGAGGGAAGGCAGCTATCTACCTATCTCCAATGTAAATGAAGTAGTGTCATATCAAAACAGTGGAAGCCCTACTTATATATGAATAAACAGGAGGATGGAGACTGTACCCCCAGGAAGCCTCCCAGCATCTTGAAGCAAGTTCAGTGAACTTTGGGAAGACAGCCTGGCATCTACACTCCAGCAAGGGAGAGAAGCTTTCTCCAAGCTTACTTTTCAAAGAATACAATTCAAACGTTTACTGGACTATAAAAAGAAAGGGAGAGAACCTCATAGTTATCTATCACCGGGGGGTGGGGGGAGATTAAAAGGGTCAGAGCTCTTCAAATCACTGAACATTGGATCATTCAACCAAGGGGTTGAAGTCTCTCAGAACTGAATATGGTTGAGAAACCT